CGTGATTCGTTGTCGTTTCTTAATCACAATTTCCGTTGTTCTCGCAATCGCAACTAATGTTGTTCTGTTTCTTTTTAGCTCTTCCGCCAAAATGGCCGTTTTTGACGTTTCTCGGAAATGTTCGTCATCACTTCGAAAATTTAAAATTTCAAAATACCAGAATATCTTGACCTTCACCGTTCTACTAATCATTCGAATAACGTCGTTAATCCTTCAAAATCACTAACTCGGAAGGTTCGCTGCTAAAATTTCTTAAACTGCAGAGATTGCATTTTGTCCATTCTGGTTGAATGCCACAATATCGAGATTCTCCACCTGCCAGTTTAGTATTCTGTATTGCGGTTAATGCTAGTTTGTGTTTGGGGGTGATTCTGAGTTCTTACTCACAAAACAGTGTGCAACCCATATTTAAGTGTCCTTCCTGGCTACAAAAGAAGCAACTAGCACCTATCTTGTTCATGAGCCCAGTGATGCCACCTGAGAAATTCTGTACATTAGAGAGTGAGTTATTTTTGATTTCGTCAGCACCACTCATCCTCTGGATTATCCCCTCATCTCCTCTGGAGTTGGAGCATTATTTTTCGATAGTGTAACAAGTTGCTACCTTATTTGTCAAACCGTCACATCTTACCCATTTATAAACTTTGATGCTATTCTGAAATTGAGCCGGTTTGAGGATTCCTCAGGGTCGCTCTGTCGTCGCTGGCTTTCTAGATTATCCAAAAACCTGTCGATTGATTCATTTTTCCTTTGTCTTCTCTTCTCGAGTATCGCCATGGCTTGTTGACCCTTCAGACCAGATCCGAAGCAATTCATGAGGATGTCAAAAATCTTTTCCGCCGTGTCTTCTCCTCTCTTCCTCTTTCTTTGCCATCACATCTTTCAGTGCAGTTTATTCGAGACTTCTCAGGAGTGCGGAACAATCCTGTCTATCGTTAAGATTATCTTGCTCAAGATGTACTCTCGAAACGTCATCCCACGGATCTATGCATCCATCAGAGTCATCCTTTGAATTATTTGGCTTCGTGCAAAATTTCTTTGACCTCTCATGGTTGTTTTGTGGTGTTCGCTTGCATTTTGCGCGAGGTATCAGCGTGGTCAGGTGAACACTAGGTGTTGGCTGACACCGTACATCTTTAGTCGTCGGGTTCATTGGGGTGAGTAAAGGCACATTCGGTGTTTCCGGTTGGGCTCTGCCTTGTTTTTTGAACCCGATCCTGGGTTTATTTGTCTCAATTTCTCTAGATGATTTAGTGTTTGTTGTTTGGCACGATTATCTCAAGAGTGCGTCAAGTTTTGCTTGTATCGGTTTCAATATCTCCGATTGTTCTTTAATCATTTTTTGCCACCTGCCTAGGTTCCTCAAGATTTCATCCATTTCTTTGTAGCGCTTCTGCACTGCCTGCATGTCTTGTTTTAGTTTTTTCCTCTTTCTTTATCTGTTTTTTCTCTTTTCTGGAGCAACGCGCCCAGTTTTTCCTTCACTGATTTTATCACCAATAGTGCAATAGTACTTTTCTAGGCCTTCGTGCTTGTAATGTCTGACCTCTTTTGAAAGTTGTTCTCGATCTTCTGTAGCCTTGTCTCTTTTCTGTGGAATTTTCTCATCAATTCCGCCATTGCTTCTCTTTTCTCGATGGTGTTGATACTTTCTCGTTGTTTTCTTTGCTTGTGAGTCATCCTTCAAGTTTCTAGTGTTCATCGATCGCTGTCTTCGCTTATCGATGAAAAGCATGATGTTCGAGGTTGTTGTTTCTGTTGCCCCACGTTAGAAATGAGAGTCGACTCGGTTATTTTGGTTTCCAATCTCTTTAAGCTATGGCCTGGCGTACTGGGATTTACTTGCTCGTTCTCTTTCAACACTATCTCCGTTGCTTCTTGCGATGCTTTTTCTGACTTCTCTTGTTTCGCCTGTTATTTACCGGTTTTATTGAAATACTTTTGCTATTCAGTTTTTTTGTCTGACTTTCTGCTCTTGTCTGTGCTTGCTTCTCCTGACGAGTTGGATTTTGGATGATCTTGTTCCACTCAATTAAGGATAATCTGCCTGTTTTCATCTTTGTGCTCTTAAATGCAAGTTTCAAGGCCTCATTTTTGGAACGATTGGTTTTTTCTCCATTATTGAAAAAATTTTGTCAAGAATTGAGCTTAGATTCCCCCATAAAAAAATTCCTCAGGTGAAGTCTCCTAGATTGTTTGAAGAAAATTTGTGGGTGCTCTTTACATTTAGTTAATGTTTTGGGTTTGGGAAATTATGGCATGGGTAATTAGTCAGTTGAATCGATTAATTACAGTTTTGATAGTGAATATTTTAAGATAAACTTCTAACTAGACTAAATCCCAATTCCTATCAACAATTTTTTTTTTAATTTCTCAGAATAAGATTAGTTGGGTGCTGGTTGTTATACAAATTTCTCCTATCAATTTTTAAACTTAGCAACAGTCGAGGTTTGAAACTTAGCTGGTCCGCAATGCTTCCCGGTGTGTGTTTCCCGACGCACACCGAGGCTCTCCTTTTATTGGCAGACCTGATTGTGCCCGAGTTAACCTTGTTAGGGTCTCAAGACAACTCTACAAAAAAATTTGAAAAAGAATAATTTTCTTACGCATCTAATCCTCCTATCTCTGGCGCTAGGTAGTGTCTATGTCAATATTTATTTTTAATATATTCAGAAAACGTTCATTTTTAGCTCATTGGGATATTAAATTAACCTTCCCAAGACTCAGCTAACCTTCTCAGGTCTTTAGCAAACTCGTTGGGACAGTAAAACACCTCCCCAGGACTCAAGAAAAAATTTGTTCGGATAGTTTAATAACCTTCCCAGGATTCAAGAAAAAATTTGTTGGGATAGTTTAATAACCTTCCCAAGACTAAAAAAACTCGTTGGGATAGTAAATTAACCTTCTCAAGACTCTTAATTGTAATCCAAACTACGTCAAAAACTGCAATTGCCCTAAATCTGCAGATAATGTTAATTTTCTCATGTCATAGTTTCTCCTATATCAACTAGTTCTTATAAATATAACAGTAAGCACCCAACCTATGTGTCCGGTTACTGTCCCCCCAATCTAGTAAGTCGCGTGAAACTAGTAACTTTACGATTTTTACCGTCTCCCTCAAGTTGAAACCCGCCCTTAAGAAGTGCGAAAACCGTCTGTAGAGAAAACCCAAATCTTTGCTTGCAAAAACTGGTAAAAACATGTTGGGTACTTCTACTTTTTTGTCTTTTTATGTGTCCAAGAGAATATGACTGAAGGTTAAATGATACTACTCTTTCTCGTTAGGATGGTCGATTTGTCTTGTCGACCAGTCATTTTTCCCAATGGTCTACTAAGAATAACAAGTTATCTGAAAATTTTTGATAACGGCCCCTCATGGGCTATCCCGAACTCTTCAATCAAAATGGTCAAAACAATAACATTTAAGAAGTTTTGTTTAACTTATAAGTCCGTCTACCCGATTTAGCAAATAAACAACACTGATTTTTTAATTGGTTTTCTTTATTGTTTTTGATTTTTTTCGGGTAGTTAATTGTCCTTTTTTTTGATTTTCTGGTGGTTGCATGGCCTCATCTTCAAAAGCGCACCAAAGAAAAAATATTCTGAAAATGTCCCTGAGAAGCTAGCATGATGCAATTGGAGGTGGACACATCCCAGTGGAACCATCCCAATGGTTTTCTAGAATGGGCATATAGCCCGGCGGTGTCTGGTGTGTTTAATCTCGTTTATGATGTCGAAACAGCCAGGAGCGCCGTGAAAACACTATATCGGAATATTTTTTCATCTCACCAGACACCGCGCCGAGCTACATGCCCATGCTAAAGTACCGGTGGGATGGTTCGACTGGGACGTGCCCACCTCCTAGTTGCACCATGCTAGCTTTCAAGTAAAATTTTCAGAAACATTTTTCCGGCGCGCTTTTCTTGAAGCCTGATAAAGTTATTCTTCTCCGCTGCTCAAGAACGCCATAAAAACTTTGTTTGTTTCCTTCACTGATGCCACATTTGAGATCAAGAATGATAGTCTCTATCAACAGGCTCAAGGGCCAGAGAAATCTCGTGCTTTTCTATCTCAATCGGTCGGAGACGATTAACGGTTTAACTAAACATTGAATTCAGGATCGTGTTACTGCCCCAAGGCCACCTTCAAAATAACCGCGCACTCTAGAAATTAAAATTGAACGCCCACATGGCCAGATTTCTAAAAACCTAAAACACGCGAACGCCGTTAAAAACAGGGTCGGGAACTGTTTTTGTTTGTTACTTTTTTTGATACAGTGTACGTTAGACCCATTAAAGATGGATGAACCTATATACTTGCCTTATCTCACCGTAGCCACATAAAAACAGTCTCTATAATTTATTTCAAAAACTCAGGACAGGATAACAAACTCTGGAATTTTCAGTTGTCGCGAGAAATTCAGGCAGGATTAGACCGATTCGAATTTTTGAAAATTTAAATTTAAAACAAAAACCTGCATCATGACCGACAGGCGCAATATTTTTAACAAAACATAGAATTTCTGAAATCTGCTGTTGATATTTTCCGTACTTTTCTAAATAACTTTGTTTCTATATCAAATGAAATTTCACAATTTTAGGTTCTAAAACTTATTTTTTAATAAATTTAGAACGAATGTTTCAAAATAGCACACTATATCTTTGTTTTCAGCCGATCACATTTGAGTATTGTCAAAATTTTCTGCTTTATGACCTGTCTGATTACGCGGTTGTCTGATTTCTGATTTTCGAGACAAAGAAGTTCAAATTTAAATTATTTTGTTGTCATGAAATTCTCTTCGTGCTATATGCTATATTATTTAATGTTCCATATAAACCATCTAATTTACTCATGTATACTGAAATTCGATTTCATACACAATTAGTGTTTTTTTTTCTATAAGTTTATGAGAAGTTTTCTCATGGCGAAATTGTATCCCGATTTTTTTCGTTCTCAATATTCAGATTAAAGTTGTAGTGTTCGGTGTAATTTTTCAGGTTAAAGATCTGTGATTATGCAAATTTGAATACAAACTCTATGTAGTTCTTATTTATCTATCCCAATTAAAACGAATCGCGGTAAATGTTGAAGCTTTCTTTGCTTAAATGGAAGGTTGGAAGACGTAAAATAAAAGCGGATTGTTCAAAACTGTCTGAAAACCATGTCAGGAACAGAAGAAACATGCTGCTGTAGTCCCGCAGGAATTACCACAGGTCCACCGGAGCTTGCGCAATTAATTGACGATGAATGCAACGATGAGAAGTTTTGGTATGCCTTCATCTCAAGTTCTGTTATCACATTTGCCACAGGTGAGGAAAAAGACATTTAACTGCTCACCCTTGCGGTAAAAAGGGCATGGCTATCGGGTACTAGACTTTTTTCTCCGTAAATAATTTTGTTCACCGAATAATCAAATTTGTAGGTATGGTAAATATCACTTCTGACATGCTCAATTCCTTGAAAATTTGTTGATTATTTTTTCTAAATTTTGTTTGCATCCTAATTTCTGTCGATTCATGTACTTTTTTAAGCGCCATTTTTTCATCTGCTAGCAATTAGCAAGCGTTATCAGACTTCTTTCGAGTTAACAACTAGTTTAACAGAATCACTTGAATCATTTTACCTTTGGTTCATATGAAATCAAAAGCATACGTTAATTTGCTTATGTGATGAAGAGCTAACGTACCTGCCTGTAAAGACAAAGTTCAATGGTTCGAATTCGGCCAGGACCTCTTTTTGTAAGTGGAAAAATGTCCATTCGTTAAGAAATCTTTGCCGGACTTCTGTTTGTCTGCTTTTTCTTCGGCTTAGTTGTCGCAGCACCAAATTTTCCTTAAGTGTGGACATTTTTTTTAACTCAAATTGAAAACATTTCTGTTAATTCCGGTTTTGGGCAATTAATGGAGTTCCAAGAAGTTATGACTATTTTTTTGCAGTTTTTTGTTTTATGCTATATTTAAAGTTTTTCTTTACACTAGCATAGCTTGTGTTATAGTGTGAACTTTCTTTTTTTCCAACTTAAATCGCAAATATTGTTGCGATGCAATTGTTGTGACAAAATGTGTTCATTTTGAAAGTGTTCAGTTTGATCAATAACCAGCTATTAAGTACAGCTTGTGTTATAGTGTGAACTTTCTTTTTTCCAACCTAAGTCGCAAATATTGTTGCGATGCAATTGTTGCGACAAAATTTGTTCATTTTGAAAGTGTTCTTTTTGATCCAGCTATTAATATTACAAATAACACTTTAGATTCAAGGCATCATGGATCTGTAGCGTAGAGGTAGGGAAGAAGACCAGCAACAAAATAAGAGGGTTCGAACCTGGGCATGGTCGGATGTTCCATTGGACTTTTTCGTATACAAGTTAAAATGCCTCCGCTCTATAAATTGAGGCATGTTAGTTAGTGTATTTTTTTAACTTGACTGGTACTCTTAATGCGTCATAATTGGCTTGCGTCACTTAGAAATTATGTAGACTCATAATTGGCGTGCGTCGCTTAAGAAATTTTATAGACACTGAAGTTTTACCTCATTCAGTTTTTTCCCAGTAGCTTTATCGGTCATATTTTTGCTTGTGTATGCGCAGTGCAACTTTGCCTCGGTGTTAGAAGTTGTTTTTATCAAATCAAAGATTGTTCTGTGCTTTTGACGCTGTGGTAACACCCATGCTTGCGAAGATAAATTACAGAAGTTTCATTCCAGTCGGAAACTGTTTTTGTTGTCGAAACTTTTCGAGTGTTTTAGACTTTCGTGTCTGCTAATTTTTGACGGCTTAGGTCCAGCAGAAAGTTTGGTTTTTTTAGCCTTTTGAAACTTCTTTGTAAAATTTTTAATGGTGCAGCCTTTTCCAGGAATTGTTTGTCCTTTTTTGCATTTTTTTGACAAACAAGATTTGTTGAAGGTTTTTTGTTCACTTTTTGGTTTCTCTTTTCATTTGCTAGTAATCATAGTCATTCTTTTTTGTATCGCAAGTGATGCGAAGCTTTTTAAAACTCTCTGGTGAGTTTTTTTACTCACTGGAAATATGAAAAAGGTTTTCGCCGCTTCATCAATCAGTTCAGGTTCGTGCAAAAATGTTTTTAGGTTTCAGCCTATTTTGTCAACCGCACTGAATATTGGTTTTAATCGTGATTGGTTTTCCAAAATAAACCAGATGAGTTGAAAACGAGCCCAAATTATTAATCTCGTTTCATTTTTTTTACGATATTTTATCTCTTTCTAACTGAAACTTGCAGTTCCCTCGGCTCAGTTATCGCTTGTTAGTTTTCTTCTGAACCTTCATTGATTGGTGTCGATTGTGTTTATGGACGTGTTTACCGCAAGTAGAACATGATTCCAGACAACATTTTGAGTTTTTTCAAGTTGTGGTATTTTGAAGTTTTTTTTTCTATTTTGTTGGACTTAGTGGCTTTCTTTTTCTGTCTGCTAGCTTGCACTGCTAATTCTTGCGTTGTTGACACATTTCAAACACTATTATCCAGTTACTTTACTTGGATTACTGTGGTCGGAATATTCTGTGCTAGTTGCACATTAACTGGATATCTTTGTTTTAACTTGCAACCATAGCCAGTTTCGAATCGACTAAGTTGTCGGTGATTCTTTTAAGTGATTTTTTTTGTCAATATACATTTCAAATGCTTTAAACCGGGCTTCTGTTCAATTTAATACTATTATCCAGTTTTCAACCATCGCTGAACAGAGCACTAGTGTTGCAGGCCAACGTTTCTATTCAGTCAAAAAGATAAGAGTGGATATTCAGGTATTTGTATCAAAGTATGTTTTTCTGGTGGAGTTTTGGATTTCGACACATGCAAACGCACAATTACGAACGGAGTTTTTTTTCAATCTGACTTGCATAAAATAGTGCTCAAAAAAGTGACGCTTGAATTGTATGCATTTTATCGGGTTCATTGGTGGCTGGTTTTTGATCAAACTGAGGCGGTATGGCTCAGTTCCAAGGACTGGGGTTTGAACACCGTAGAGGCTTTTTAAAAGCTTATTAAGAGTAATGAACGTAGTGAAGAATCTTATAAAGGTCTTGCTGATTTTTTTTTGGTTTTGTTTCAGGAAAAGTCTAATATCTACAGATGTGCATTCATACATATTGATGCATTTATGAGTGCGTTTAGGTATATATGCACTTTTTGAGTTATTGGAAATTCATCTGTTGAAAAAGACGTAAATAGCACTCTCCAAATACAAACGTGGAAATGGCGCGAAAAAACGAACGATCTCTAGTTGTGAAGTGGAATTTATTTTCTAGATTTCCAGCGGCAATTTGTAGATTTCAAAAATCAGCCAATCATAAATCGTTTTAGAATTCAAAGAGCTTGAAGGGCATTTTTTTTGAAATTCGACAGTTGATTTTTCAAGTGTTTTTTTTTATGTTCACTTGCGTTCATTACTCTTTTTCAATCATCGATTGGCTGTGTTTAACTTAATTTTGTGTCTTCTTGCGTTTAGCAGCTCTCGTTTGCCATATTTTTTATTTGCGGAGTGGATCGTCGCCTCTGTGAAATTTTTGGTTTTGGTCTCTGTATATGTTTTTCGTACTGAGTTGGTTTTTGTTTCGACCACTTCACGAAGTAGGAAGGAATTATGAGGCAGGGCGATCTTCCACACGTTGATGCTGTTTCAGAAAAATGAATTTCTAATTTGGAAACTTTTTGACTTTCGGAAAGTTTTTGACTTTTTATTTTGGAAATTTTTTGAGTTTCCTTTTTTGAAAACTTTTTGACTTTTCGCGAAAACTGCTCTGTCAATTCTTAGGTTAAGTTTTCAGGTTCAACTGAATCTCAGTTCGGGTTATATTCTATGTTTAAGCGGTCACGACCTTCTCATTGTAGAAATAAAAGTGATAGATTTTGGAAAGTTAAGTTTTTTAGCTGATGAACGTTTTTTCTAGAAACTTTTTGATTTTCATTGAAACTATCCTATCAAATTTGAGATGAAGGGTTCTATCGAGCGAACCAGTTGCTAGAACTTTTCCTTCAGAACTTTTTTGAAATGCATATTTTATACATATTGTGGTTTTATGCTTTGCGATTTGTTACATGCAAAGTTAGTATGGATGCCTTCAGTTTGTTATATTCCAACTTATTACATGCAATATTGAGTCTATTTGTATTGGGTGCCAGTTTTTGCTGAATCTCATTGGCAATTTATTAGCATATATAGCAGCGTTATTCTTGGCTAGTTTTTGAGGATTTTAAGCATCCGTGGCTGAGTGGTTAGTGCGTGACCCTCAAGTTAGCTAGGTCGCTGATTAGAATCCGAGTTTTTGCTGATTCGAGGCTTATTTTAACTTCTTATTTCACTTGAGGGAGCTGCTTTCTGGTCGTGTTCTCGTAAGTGTTTGCGAAGCGCAGCTTCGCCTCTGTCTCTGTGTAGAAAATTTTAATTCAATGATGGTTATTTGCTAAGAGCTCCTTTGTCTCGGTTTTGTCATGTTAAGCAATCGTTGAAGTTATTTTATTTTTCATCGACCACTTAAAATAGGGAGTATTTTGTCTTCGGGTGTGTTTCAGTTTTGTTCTGACAATTGAAAATGGGAAAAAACTTTATCTTCGGTCGCGTTTGTTTTGGTTTTCACGCAAAATCAGGTACTACGAATAATCCGCGGAGTAGATCGAATGATATATCATACTCTAGCGCCTTCACGCATGATTTTAATGGTAAAATCCGGTTATAAATTTTTGAGTTTTAGTCTACATGAGCTTCCTAAAAAATATTCAACTAAACTGAAAAGTCCTAAATGACAGTTTTGTCCCGAAAAAAAACAAAGCTGCCGCTGTTTTGCTTTTTTGACCCTGGTCTGGTTTCTTCAAAGAAAATGACGTTTTTGTGTGTCCTAAATCCTCACCAGGAGAAAACGTAGTCATTTACGCTAGAGGAAATTGTATAAAAGATATGTATCTCAACCAAAATAAGGCGTTTCCGAGACTAGAGGGTTGACAGTGTCTGAATTTACACAGAAATGACTGAAAATCAATTTTCTAAAGGTTCATAAAGGAAATTCATGATTGAGTTAAGGAAGTTTATACTAAGCAGCAGTTACTTCGACGACGTTGAGCTATGGCAAAAGAAAATGAAAAGCCGCTTGCAATAAATCTAAACGGGAGGCTTGTCTAAATCTGCTTATTAAGCTTATTAAATTTAAATGTCTAGCAAGCTTTATTTAACCGAAACAAGGATATCAGAATTTAGCCCAGTAGTTAGCTCACATTCCGTAATTTTTAAGCGTGTGAACGAAGCGACTTTTAAATTGTTCAGGAATTTTGATTGTCGAAATATTTTTATTTGACCTCTAGAAATTTTATTTTATTGGTTCAAGCCAACTTAAATAAAAATGCACACGTGGAAATAATTTTAATCAAATGAAAGTTATGCGTTCGTTCTATTAGAAAAGCGACAGTCTAGCCTTGGAAACCGATTTTTGAAGACTCCCAGTGTCATGAAAGAAGCCTTTTGATCGCATTTATGTAAATTAGGTTCAGTTCAAGTTCTATCATAAATGTCTCCAGAGAAACAATAATCTTTGATGTGATATAGTTTCTTGAAACTCATAAAATTGAAAAAATCTTTCCCAATTTATTATGTTTGAATTGAATATCAGTTTATTAGCGGCCTGTTGGGTTTGATAGATATATCAATTTTTGTGCAGATCAAATAGGGTTACTCGCTCCGCTTCTCATTTATTGTTACCTAAAATAAAGATAAAATCGTGTTATCAGGAAACTACTGATTTTTAGGCCTCTTCGTCATCTTGGCCTGCCGTGCCCATGTCATGTTCAAGAAGGACAATGAGGAGAGTGATGAGGATGGGGACAATGGGGAGCAGAGAGGAGGGGATGCGAACGAGAGGGGAGTGAATGAGGAGGAGGAGAAGGCCGAGGTGGGATGGCTCACGTCACTTAAAGACTGGGCCGGTATCCTTATTTCGGCACAGACCACCACTGGACGCATACTTGTGAGTTTATTTTATAGATCAGAATCTAGAAATGTTCCTAAATATGAGAAATCTTTGAGTCCAAGTAAACGACAAATCTTACATATCAGTCAGTGTATTGGCGTATAATAAAAAAACGTGAAACTTTTAATCGTATAATCGGACTATCGTTATAAAGTATAATCGTGTATTTTGGTTTTCGTATAAAAACGTATAATCGTATAACTTGAGATCAAAATTACAGAAAACGCTCAAGATTTTTGTAGATTGTTTTTGCTGCTCGATTATATTTTTTTTGCCGAAAAATCTCTGATTGCTCTCAGAAATTTTTTAGCCACCCCTAATATTACTCAATCTTGCAGTACCCAACGAAAAATCCTTGTTTCACAAACATGAGTAGCCAATTATTGGTATCAAAATTTTTCAAAATATGATTTTTATGTTATTGATGTGCTCGGAAAATCTGTTTCGTCAATCTAACGGAAGAAAACTGACTTTTTGAGAATATTGCGAAAAATGCATCAATTAAAATCAGGATTTGATTTTAATTGATGCATTTTCCCCAAATGTCTCGAAAACGTTATTTTTTCCTTTTGATCGTTTTTGGACACTATGGAAAGGTTTTGGGAGTTTTTGCTCTTAATTTGCTTCCAAAGTTATGTTTTTGGACACATTAGAAGGGTTTCAGAGATCAAAAGTTTGTGCCGTAAGATAGAACCAAAGGATTGCCCGGGACCCTTGGGGTTTTTAACTCTAAGGTATACATTCTTTGTTTAGATGGTGTTCATGGCATTCAACAGTTTGGCTGCATTCGTCATTTACCTCCTGTACACTGGATCAGAGTGAGTTTTTTCGTCACTATTTTATTACTCGTATTTGTTATATTTATCCCTAGTTATAAATAACTTATTAATATATCTAAACAGAGAACTAAAATGATGAATTGACGGCATCTCGTCTCATATCTGTTTACTGTGACTTGGCCTTACTGTCCTCCTTTTGTGACAAAACGTGGATATGGTAATGGATTTGAAATTATGCGTCGCGATCGATATTGTGAAAGTGTATAGCTCGTTTCACGCAATTTGTTCTCTTCTGAAGCACGCTTGGATAATTTTCGTTTCTGTTTGTAACTGTTTGTCCATGCGTGACTTCTTCCCTCGACGCTAATGCTAGCGATGGCCATTTTATTGCTTTCGCTTTTTGACATGTTGGCCATGCCATCTTTTATTTCTAGTGCCGTATTCGAATTGGAGCTGACGCAGAATAATCTGCAGTAATAATGAATGGATTTAAATTAAAATCTACAGCTTCCTTCTTTCATGAAGATCATACAGCAGGATAAACGCAAATACAAGTCAATATGACAGCATGCGCTTTGGACAGCAAAACTGTCGTTAGGTAATGTCAAAATAGTGGGTTGAAGCCTGTAAATTTTTGGGCGACCAGCTGCTGTTAATTTTTCTGAAGTTTTTTTAGCGTGGACTATAGCCAGATTTTAAGAAAATTCCTCCTTTTATATAAAAATTGGATTGCTGCGCACAATTTTATACAACAAAAATTCAATAGAGCTTGTTTCAAAGTTCCAATTCTCGGTATGTAGCTGCGACTCATCTGGCATCAAATATGACCTCAATAAATTGTAGACTAAGGTTCATCGCTGGCTGATATTGTCCAGACAAAATGAGTAGCTTTCTGTTTTATTCTTTGTCTGGATAACTGAGCCAGCGTTGCACCTAGTTCCACTATATTATCGAGGGCTTGTGTCATACCAGAGGAGAGTTGAAAAAATGAAGCAGATAGTGGCATGTTTTTATATAATTGAACCTAGGCATTTTCTTCCAGGAATCTAGCATAAAACGATTTTAGTATCTTGGGAAAAAAACTAGACTTGATAACAGAAAAAGTGTTGCATATATTTTTTTACCATTTGACTATGGTGATATCTACCAAAAGATGAATTCAATTCTTCGTTCTTATATGGACCAATTTTTAACCGGTTCAATTTCCAGAAGTTAAGAAAAGCTAAAGAATCAATTAAATTGCAGTTGATCAATATACGCTTTTAATGTGGATCTTAATATTTCACTGGGTTTGAAGGTTTTAAAAAATGTTATTCTTGTTGAAGTGTCAATGATCGAAGCAGGAGCGGATCTAGAATTTTCTCGAGGGGCAGGTGCGCGTTTTTTTTAGGTCGAAGTAATTGATTTTCCGAGCTTTTCCAAAGCACTTACAGACCGTTTTGGCCAAACTTTATGCGTTTTTAGGCTCTTTTTCAAAAACTTTTAACCAAAAAATCATGTTGTTTCAGCTCGAGATTCCCCCTCAAATTAATTCAATATAGACGCCTTTAGAAAAATTTTAGGGTGCATTAGCCAAAAATGGATGTCTCAAGATAGTACAAACTTTGGGGTTTTGACAATACTTTGAATTATTTTGGCGTTATGGCTTTGGTTAATTGCAACTTAATTTTTCGAAAAAAGAAATCACTCTTAAATTGATGCCTGATTTTTAGTTCGCCAAATACTAAGTAAGTACAGGTTGATTTTTGATATTTGAGTTGGTTTTAATGAAAATTTGACAATAATCAAAGTCTCTTGAAACAAGGATAACCAGTTACTGTGCAAGTGGCCCAGAATTTTCCTACCATAGTCTTAAAAAAGTACAATAAAGTTTTTTCAAATTATTGTCGTTTTTTGTTCGTCCTAGTGTGATAAAAGGAGTTGAACAAAAAACTGGATATTAGGTTTTTTCGACAGTCATAGTTTGAATAACAATTTTTATTTAGAAAAGTTACTTGAAAAATAAAAAAATCAAATTTTTTTTTTCAAATTTAGCAGTTATTTGAAAAATTTTGATTCCAAAAATGCGCCAAAATACTACAAGTAATCTAAAGTTAATCAAGCACAAAATAGTTTTTACTCTTAAATTAAAGCTATTGTAAGCTTTTAAGCAGTTAAAATAAGACTGCTCGCTCGCTTTATTCGCTCGGAATAAGATGGAACAATTTTCAAGTCGGTTTTTCTTGACTCGGGAAAAAGTTTTTATAATTTCTTATTTTGGTTCGAATCACGACTGTAAGGGCTTTAATATGAATCATCACTCAACCCAGTCCGATGATTTTTTGTGATACCTGATTTTGGGTGGAAAATGAAAAGAAGTTAAAACACACCCGAATACAAAGTTCCTCCCCATTTTCAATGGTCGGAACAAAAACAAGAAAAACTACCAGATATCCATGTTAATGTAGTTTGGCAAAATTCGAACTAGAATATGAATAAGTTAAAAAATGATTCGAAGAAGGCTTCAGTCATTTTGGCTTCAGAACTAAATTGCTAACGGGGCAGTACAACAGTGCCGAAAATCAAAATTTGTTCAACAGTGCCGAAAATTATTTGAAAAAAATTTTTTTCTCATCCCAAAGCACTGACAAGTAAATTAATTCGAATCGACGGAAGCTGAAAAGTCAAAAACAGCCATTTTAATTGATGCCGCTTAATAAACCAACAAAATTTCACCAAGCGCGAAGCGAGCTTCATATTTTTTTTTGAACTAACAATTTCTTCAACAAATTTTCAACCGATTTCACTCCAAAACAAAACAGTATTCATGCAAAATTGCTATCAATTTACAAAGATAACTCAAAATTCTCAACTAGCCTTATTTTTCGGCTCTGTTGAAAACAGGTTCGACACTGTTGTACTTCGGCACTGTTGAACGTCCTTGCTGTCGACATGCTAAGTTCCTCGAAAATTCAAATTTAACTATTGGGTTCTAGTTACTTTTGGTACATGCTATATGTAGAACGCAAACCTTTGTATGTATAATTAAAGAATTTTGATACTTTTTCTGCTGGTGATCTTTCGCCTTCCTAGTTGTGTACTTAAGCTCTATCGGTTTAGTTTCCAAAGTTTGTATTCCACTTTGTTTTCTTCACTCATATAGCTATCAAAGATTCTATGTGGGCGTTAAAAGCAATTTGTACTATATGATTTTTTTGGTGTCAATGATCGTCTGATTTTCAGCTTATTGAGTGTCGGTTTGAATTCTGTCGGCCTAATTACCGATTTTTTCCTAAAAAATTTCTCGTAGTAATTTTGAGACCGATAGCACTCTTACACCAATATTTGAATGCTCAAAGTCAACCGCACTTGGACCTCTTTGAAAATTTTTAATTAAATTAAACATGAAATAAAATACTGCTTTATTTGTTACATCGTTCGAACTTTGTTTGCTAATTAAGGGGTGCGAACCTCAGCTTCGCATCTGTGTTGTCTTCTTTTTTTCGTTTTCTCAGAAACGACTTTCCCAAATCTGAGATTTTGGTTTTAATGGTTGGAACTGGTTATGGAAAGCGCCTTCGTATAAGTTGTTGCGCTCAATTTTTTTACACAATAGTTATGGCCCTCAGACTAGTCAAATATTTTTTGACCGTTTTTGGGAGTTTTTTGGGAAAGTTTTGACTTCACTCGAAAGCTATCCTGCTTAGTCTTAGGGTAAGTGTGCAATCGGGAAAACTGGTTTCGGGAATCTTTTCCGCTTAAGCGGCCACGAGATACTTTTTGCAAAAAAAGTTACGGATTTCGGAATTTCACGTTTTTGACTTTTAGCAACTACCCTATCAAATTTGAATAAAAAATTGTTATCTATGTGAAGTTTGTTTGCAAATGAATTTGGATTTTACAAAATGAAGCTTAGGTCCCGCCTTGCCTCTGTGTGAAAATTTTTGGCAAATGATATTGGATTTTATGAAATCAAAAACTGTACCGAATTGAAAATGAATTGATTTTTGACTTATTTACGTTGTGTGTCTTGTTTTTGGGACGATGTCTCACTGTCAATTCAGATTCTAAACACAGACGATGTCTCACTGTGAATTCGCACTGTTTTTCTGTTGGCGCTATGATTCTCCAGGATCGTTCAAATTAGTTTGAATTTTTTCTTATTTAAAATGTCGATTTAAAATTGAGAGTTGGCTCAAATTGAAATAATTTTTCCAAATAATATCAAATGTTAAAGTTTCTTGAAATCAAAAGAGCTTTAAAGTGCTATAAATAAATCTTTGAAGGACCAATTTCGAAAATTCAGAGAAAAGGTATTTAGTTTTGCGTTTCTAAGTGTCAATAAACAAATTGAATATTTGCTATTTTTTTGGTGTCTTATTGCCGATTTTTGTGTGGTGTTTTTTTTTGTCTCCGGTCCACCGTTTACGTGCCAATTGGAAATGCTTCTTTGTCTAGTTGGACTACCAAAGGGGTTACTGCATGGAGTTTTCCCGATTTCAGTGGAACCATTGCCTGTCTCTGGAATAGAAGCTTAAGTGGTTTTTGGCTTCTATTCTGGTTGCCAATATTCTGGTTGCTTAATAACCATGAAAGTTTTCTAAAGCGCTTTTGGCCTCAATATACCGTCAATTTATTTTGAGGAAAGAGTGAACGTCGGGCAAACGCGGCATTGTGGTCAAAACCTTCCAAAATTAGAGCTTTAAAATGACAGTTTTGACATATTTTTTCCCCATAATTTGTCAGCGGCGCAGAAGGTTTTTGCCAAATATGGTCATACTGATTTTGACAGACCTCAAAAATTTCGTAATTGTTGATTTAAAAAGCAGCCCCCAGTCGAAAGTTTCTTCGCACGTCACTGCCTGGAAGGAACTATAATGAAGAGTGATGAACGTAGTGAATGCTCTTACGTAGGTCTACGTGGTTTTCGTTTTTTTTTCAAGAAAAAGTTATAATTTGTTCACGCTCAAAATTAATTTTTGTAAATTTAGTGCATTTTCTTTGCTTAAAGGAAAAAAACTCCACTATCGAACAAGAAAAAAGTGTGAAGGTCACGAAAAACGTGATCGACTTCTAGTTTCGAAAGTGGATTTATTTTAATTTGCAAATTTCCGAGCGATTAAAAAAATTACCTAATGATCCATTTTTCTCATTTTGCTTAATTTTTTCTAAAAAAAGTGTCAGTCATATTTTTGAATTTCAAGGAGCCTTAAGGCCAGATATTTGTTCTTTGAAATTCGAATTTTTTTTCAGAAAACAGTTTTTTCTGTTTCCTTGCGTTCATGAGTCTTTTCCAACTGTCTGTTGTCTATGTTTAGAATCCGTTCCAGCTTTACCAGCGTCCGTTTTTCTAACACTTACGCTTTTCTCGCATTTGGGTCTCTGTGTTTTTTCTACTTTTTTTTTGAAAACGGGAATTGAAAGCCCGAAATAGGGTCATAGGCTAGAAATTTGTCTATTATTGCTTGCTGGAGTTCAACAAGTTGACATTGGAGTCATAATTGAATTCGTTGCTGCTGTTATTTCTGAGGTCAAATTGCGTAGTTTTTCGATGTTCTTTCATTTCCTTTTTGATGCGGATGTTGTTTACTTCTTTGACTTAAGATGAAACACATTTATTTCCTCTCGATTCTTCAACTTCTAATAATAACATCGTTATCACGCATTGCATATGTAATATGAAGATATGAATCTGGCCTCAAGGTGTAATTTAAACCTGTCTCTTGCGGGTATTCGCCTGTCCAATTTGGTGCGTTTGTCAGATATTGATTTGTTCAGTTTGCTTTTGCCTTTTTTGGTAGATAGCTATGTTATCCACAGAGCATTGACGAAAGGTCGTTAAAAACCGAAACGGTCGCCAAAATTCTTCTTCTTGATCAATACAAATCTGTCAAAATCAGTCGTTTGAAAGCCTCTTTTTCAAAAAAGGTTAACAATTACCATAAGGGCATGTATTATCGTTTTTGAAGGGCATAATTTTGCTTGGGCGGGGAATTTCCGCAGCACACCTGAAATCAACGATTGTGGATCAAAGCTCTTGGTTCGAAATCTTTAGGTAGTCATCGCAATCAATGTGAGATTATTAATGATTCGGATGATTGTTTTTCCATTTATTTCTGTGGGCTTAGTGATCTTATTTTAACAGGGCTAGAAACAACATCTTATTTTTTGCTGGGGAATAGGAAACTAAATCTTTGAATCAAGGCTAGCCAGAGTTCTACTTCACATGCCAATGAGCTTCAATGTCTTCTATATTTGTTTGAAAGTTTCTTAGAACTGCGCTGAAGTTTTGCCGTGGTATTTTGCGCTACTTGCTGAATAATAGGTTGAAGTTTGTCGAGAAGTAAGGTTTTCATTAGGGAGTCGATTGAGCTTTATACAATATGATACCTATTTATTTTAACCTATTTTGAAGGTTTCGTGGGCGCACCCCTCAAAGTTATTAGATATTGTCGCCAAAGATTCTTTCAGTATTTTTTAGGGTTAGTCGGTCAAAAACAGAAGTCCAAAAATAGTGGCAAAGAAAGACCTCCTTCTTGGCTGTGAGAGGTCAAACTTTCGAGGATGGGGTGCTCCCCTCTCTGAATCCTGTATTGGTTCTCAAAGTTATACCATGCCTATTAATTATTTTAGAATACTAGTTCTTTTTATTATTAACCACTGGCATACGAATTGTTTTTTTTTGTGTTTGATGGAATTGGGAGGTTGGCTGTCTTGTTAGCTGGGGTTTCTGTCAATAATCTGATGAGTAGCGGTCGCCCGTAGGTGTGAACAAATGAACAACTAGGTGGGAGTGTGTTATGAATTGAGTTGAATAGTGACCTCAATCCACTCATTTTCACCTTTCGCTCTTCCACCTTTTCTATGCTGCCATTCATATCCATTCCCTGCTTACTCTAACTGAAGATTAAAATCTCAATCTGAACTGGTGTATTTGTAACTGGACTACAAACAAAGCATCAGGCAGCTAAGCAAGTGTTGCTGTAGACCCAATTGCATGCACTTAGATGGAAGATAAGAGAGGTCAGAGAAAAGTGAAGAAGAAGTCACCAAGTGAATCGAAGCTGCCTGGCATATCTGTCATATTGGCATTGTTCTAGCCGAAGGAGTTAAAAGTAAAAAAGCTGAAATTAAGTAGTGAAGTAAGACAATGGTATGACCTGAAAGGCTACCACTAGCAGAGAAATATCTTTACATGTAAAAGTTGATGGTCACGTTTGAGTAACTTTCAGCGTGATATAACCTTACTTCTAGCCTTTTTATAGACATTGATAGCGAATAAAAAAATTTAATTGGATCTGCTTAAAATTTTTCATATGATTAAGCTGATTGAATAAAAATCATTAAGTTCAGAAACCACTGAAAGCAAACATCAATATTCTAATGAAGATCTCCAAGACTGGGCTTTATAGATATTGATTAGTTTTCTAAGTACGTTTGAATAGTTGACTTACTTTGGAGTTCACAATGAACCTAGTGAAAACAGTTGGATCGGCCGGGCTAGTAGTTTTTCTTTTGTTAGGGAGACTTAAAGTTTGCACTTAAATTTGATTTATTATGAGATTTGACATTGATTGTTTCTCAAGTTCAATTCAAATTGATTTGCTCAAAGGGGATGAATTCAAGCTCTTGTTGTGTGGGGTTTGTCAGGAAAAAAATGATTGTATTGTTACAAATAGAGAATCAGGTCGGTTGTGTTGTAAAAGTTAGGTCTAAAACTTAATCTCTCCATAATTTGTTATGACAATTCTTATGGTTTGTTTTTAGTTTTTGGCTCATTGGTCATCTACTGACGTATTGTCGGCTTAGTGGCCGCTCAATAAATACTAAAGCTTATTTAATTCTGGTGGTTGTGATTTTCGACTATTTTACTTACATTTAATTCTTCAGAGTGACTGACCCTATTGAAGATTCTTGTATAGGTCTTGGTGATTTTTTGTTAGTATTTTTTCAGGAAATAGTTTGAAAGTGCTCTAATAACTAAAGATGTGCGTTCGTACGTATGCATTTTTGAGTTGATACCAAATTTATCTGCAAATTTTTAGGCAAATTGCTCTCTATCTACAAACGTTGAAATGGCGAAAAAAACCAGAATTATTTCTAGTTTCGAAAATGGATTTTCATTTTCAGATTTCCCAGAAGGATCAAATTGCGTTAGTTTAATAAAAAAAAGTGCCCATCATAAACGTGTCGTGAAGTGCGAAGAGCATTAAGTCCATAAATTTTTCACTTTAAAATTCGAAGATTGAAATATGTCCAAGAAATATGTCAGTAATTTTCGTTTCCTTGTGTTCTGTGATATTTTAAAACTCGATGAACGTGTTTCAGACTCTGAATACTTGGCGATGATTTTTTTCAGGAAAAGTCTTAAATTTTGTTCAGGCTCAACAAATCGTGATCGACTTCTTGTTTCGTAATTGAATTTTCATTATCGAGTTTCCAACCGAAATAAAAAATTTAACTATTGATCCAGTTTTCTCCAATTGGGTTAATTTAATCATGCAAAGGTCAATCATAAATTGTTCTAGAAACGCAAAGAGCTTTAAGGGCATCTATTTTTTACTTTATAATTCGAAAGTTTTTTTTCTAAAAATGTGTCCTCAATGTTTTTGTTTAAGTGCGTTCATTGACTCTTTCGTTGATCAGTTGGCTATGTTTTCCAATTGTCTGTTGGCTACAATTTTTTCAGGAAAAATCTTCAAATGCTTTAACTACAAGTAAATTCATACAAATTAATACATTTTTGATTGCACTAGGTGTATATGCACTTTGAGTTCAATGTGAATTCATCTGCTAAAAGTTAGGTAAATTGCTTTTCCGATATACAAATGCGAAATAGAGCGTAAAAACGTGAATGAAAGACTTCTAGTTTCGAAAATCGATTTTAGATTTTGCCACAGAGTCAAAACTTTAACCTGTTGATCCAGTTTTCTCAAATTGAAATGGTTTTTATCAAAGATTAAATCATAATTTTGAAAATCAAAGAGCATGAAGCCCATAGTATTTCAACTATGAAATTCGAAAGTTGAATTTATATTTCTCCTTAAATCTGTTGGCTATGTTTTTTTCCGTAAAATTTTTTGATCTTTGATTTAGTTATATACTTGTCTTATTCTCTATTCGATAGCTTTTAATGCTATGCTTGCGTTGTATTGCAAATAATGCGAAGATTCGCTTCGACTCTGTGCATAGTCTTGATTTGAGTTTTGATTTGTTGTGAGTTTCACTTTAAATTCATGTGCTGAATGGAATCCAAGTTAAGCTCTCCGTAGCAAGAGTGCAAGTGTGAAAAAGCAGTTTTCTCTTATTGGGTTAGATTTTTTTTCAACTGATTGCTATGTTTTGAATGCAATGATAACAGTGATCGGGTCCTTCTCCGATTTGCAAGGTAAACGGTTAGCGTTTTTGGGGTTTCGTTTGTTGGTATAATGAATAGTATTATAATTATCGAGGTCTATAATGGAAACAGTTTTGGTCCACCTGTGATTAAATTAACTAAATGATGACTTTCGTGTAATTCTAGTGGGATCGAGGGCTGTGTGCACGACAGAGAGCAGAAACTTCTTCACTGCGAGACTGCCATCAACATATGCTTCCTTATCCACTTCGGCATCCGGTTCCTCGCAGCCAGCGACAAACTCTGGTTCTGGCTCGAACTCAACTCCGTAGTCGACTTCTGTACCGTTCCTCCCGTATTCGTCGGAATTTATCTCAACCGACATTACCTCGGTTAGTATTGTGTCATCGAACTTGACCGTTAATCTCGGACCTTTGCTTATGTTTACTAATTTCAATGCAGCTCGCAGCTGATCGATTCTGATTAACCCTAGACCATGTTATCAATTTTAGCTTCATAGTCAGACCCTGTTTCAGAGCTTATACGTAAAAATCTTATGTACTCAGTTTCGAAAATTGTGTGAGGATGGATTTCTACAAATGGATGTTAGAAGTTTTATGGACGAAACAAGTTTCTTTATTTTGTGTTTCAGGTCTTCGATTTTTTCGAGCCCTAGCGTTTATGCAGTTGGGCGACATTCTTCAGTTTCTCAGAGTTTTAAAAACGAGGTATGTTTCTCTGCTTAAAGTTCAAATGTAGACGTGAATGTGTGGTCTTGTGTTGGCTTAAATTTGTCCTGTGTTTCAGTAATTCTATCAAATTAGTGCAGTTAGTTTCTATCCTGATTAGTATGTGGCTCACCGCTTCCGGACTATTCCATCTTGTGAGTATATATATTTCTTTTGCTCAACAATACAGTTTATTGAATTATCAGTCAATTTTTGTTGCAAAAGCAAATATTACCTTAAGAGTTTTTGCCTGACTTTATCAAAGTTTCTCCTCGAGCTCGAAATTATCCTTTGCTGTATTACAATTTCCATCTAAAGCTGCAATGAAAGACCAGTTAATGCTAAAAGACCGTTAACTCCAAATTAACGCACCATCGACACTAATTTAAACAGTTTCTTCGAGAGGCTGCGGGTAAATAAGGATTTATAAGTTCAGCAAAGATTTTTCAACTATTTAAATGCTTAATGGCTTCTTGTTTGCAGTTTCAATAGACCCAGTGTCAATGGTGATTGTACGTTGGGATAAACTCGTCGAAGTTATCATTGACTATAAATTTTGGCAACTAAGTTTGTGTTTTGTACGGTTATTACGCGTCAATGAGCGGTGTGAGGACACTTATTTGATTTGTGATTTCCAAAAAGTCATAAATTTGTTCCTCCTTAAATTTGATTTTTTTTGCGGTTCCTAAAATATTTTTGCGACGCAAATATTGTTGCGACAAAATGTGTTCATTTTGAAAGTGTTTTATTTGATCGATAACCAGCTATTAAGTACAGCCAATGCTAAGGATATTAACACAGACTATTATATTACAAATAGCAGTTTAGCTTCAAGGTATCATGGATCTGTAGCGTAAGAGGCAGGGAAGGAGACCTGCAACAAAATAAAAGGGTTCGAAACTGGGCAGGGTCGGATGTTTTAATGATCTTCTTTTTGTATTTAAGTAATAATGAGTCCACTAATTGAGGCATGCTAGTTAATAAATTTCTTTTTTTTCACATTGACTGGTACTGCTAATTTGGTATAATTGGCTTGCGTCACTTACTATTATGTAGACTCATAATTGGCGTGCGTCACCTAAGAAATTTTGTAGACTCAAAGTTTTACTCATTCAGTTTTTCGCAGTAGCGTTATCGGTCACGTTTTGGATTGTGTATGCGAAGTGTAACTTCGTCTCTGTGTAAGATACTGGAATTTCAAAGAATTTTTACTGGCCATAATTTTTTTTCAGATTTCTTGAGTTTACTTTTCAACTTTGTTGGCAATGTTTCTTCGTCTAACGTTTCGTTTACTGCTGAATTTTTAAACTTGTTCTTATTTAGAAACGATGATTTTTTTGTTTTCATCAGGAAGTCTTAAAATGCTCCTAAAAGCTTTATTCGGACTTTATAATTTCATTTTATGTTTTATTGGCACATTCAACTTACGTTTGACGGTTAAAAATTGATATATATTTTTAAATTCAGTCCGGATGTGGTCAAATTTTTACACTTGCGAAGCGAGTGTATTAGTACGAACCTTCTTTCACAAATTTTGTAGCCACTTTTGAGGCAACCTAACATCTTTTTGATAGCCTGTGCTTCGATATTCGAATAGTAATAAGTTAACCCAGTTTATGCAGCTTTAATTCATCAAATGAACCGGAAAAAGTGATTTGTTTCAAACAAAGTCTTAATAATCGAAACTCAATTTCAGAAATTTTTTTACTCAATATATCTCGCAATTTTTTGAAATGCTTAATTTGTACATATTATGGCTTTTTATGCTTTGCGATTTATTACATGCAAAGTTATTGTGGATGCCTTCAGTTTGTTATATTCAAAATTTTTACTTGCAAGCTTGAGTCTGTTTGTATTTGGTGCATCTTTTTCTGAATCGCATTGGCAAGTTATTAGCATATGTAGCTGCTTTATTCGTGACTAGTGTTTTTCAGTTGTTAAGCTCGCGTGACTGAGTGGCTAGTGCGTGAGACACAAACTCATTTGATTGCAGTAGGTCGGATATTCGAACCCTACACTTAGCCGAGTTTCCGCTAATTCTAGGCTTATTTCTACTTTTTTAAATTTCACTTGATAGAGCTGCTTTTTGGTCGTGTTCTCGCAAGTATTTGCGAAGCGCAGCTTCGCCTCGGTAAAATTTACTCTCCAATTTTTTATGACAATTTCTAACGACATTTTTTGTTTTCGGCTCAGTGGCCGCTCGATAATACTATAAGCACATTAAATGCTGGGCGTCGTGATTCTTGAGTGTTTTTCTGAAGTTGAATTTAAAGAGTCAACAATGAACGAAATAGACTTTTCTATAGGTTTTTTTTCAAGGTCTTTATATCTCTAACTGCAGATTTACGTTCATAACTTTTAATGCATTTTCATTGCACCTAGGTGTTAGTGTTTTTTTTTGCGATCAATTCAATTTCATTTCATCAACATTGCGATAAGCAAGGTTTTTGCAATCGGGTACTAAGCTTTTTCAAGTTAATTTTTCCCCGTAATTAACTTGAGAAATGGTAAATTTAGGTTCTGTTCATATTATGTTCAATTTTTTTGCGTCTCTGGTACACTTGATCTGGAGGCAACAAATACGCTCGGGACGGTAAAGATCCTGGGTTTGAATCTGGCAGCATCTGTTCTGTCAAATGAGAAATTTTCTGTTTCAAACAAAATTGTCGGCCTTTTATTTGTTTTGCTAGTTTTGTCGGCTTATTTGCCACGTAGAATTGTCTTTTTTTGCTGTGCACTAGTTGTTTTGTAGTTGCTTGTAATGCTTTGATTTACTTCTGCTGTAAGTAATTTTACTAACTTTGACTTCGTATGTTTTTTCTCTGAAAAACTTTATTCTGCTCAAATGGTTTCAGCTGTTTTTTATCGGCTTATTTTAAATCCTTTGAAGGGAAACGTAATTGATATGCTCCCCTCTGGATTGCACAAAATGCTAAAAATCATAGAAATCATAGTATTCCATGACAACTTTTTTTTGGCTTTGCTTTTTTCTCCGTTTTTTTCCGCTTCATAGGTTTCGACATGTGTTAAATTGGCTTAATGGCCTCATATTGTGTCTTTTGAGGAACGAAAAAAAAGTTTGTTTGTGATGGGGACTTAAGGAAATTAATAATTTTTTATTAGTCTTAAATTTTTCTTGACTTTTTTGTTTTCTTTTTTTTCTGCTTAATAGGTTTCAGGCTATACTGTATTGGTATAGTGACCTGATACTGTTTCAATTGAAGAGCAATAAAGTTTTTTGTTTATGTGTTTTGAGGGTGAGGAGGGTGACTTCTTAACTTTTTATAAGTCTTAAGGTTTTTTGGCTTTGTTACCTCTTGGTAATTTTTTTGTGTTTGTTAGCGCTTGCTAATTCCACATTCTTTGTTTCGGCATATTTTAATTTCAAAATTAGCCTGCTTCATTTTGATAGATATTTTCGATTTTTTTTTACTTAGCGGCTTTCTTGCTTTGTATCGCAAATGGTGCGAGGCTCAGCTTCGCTCTTTGTAAAAGGTTTCCCCATAGTCGTTCCATTGTAGGGTTGTTTACATTTTCTGAAGTAAAACGCAACTTCTAGTTGAGATAATTGAAAAATTTTGGGTTGTTTAATTTTTCAGCAAAAAAGCAAAAATGTTTTCAACAGTTTTCCACTAAATCCTGTAAATGCAAGACAATTTACGTTATCTGATTGAAGAAGTAGAAATGGCACGAAAGAAATGAATGAATTTCTCACTTCGAAAGTTAATTCTAATTGGAAGGTTTGGCAACCCAGTTTTCTCTAATTGTTCGTTTTTTTTAAACAAAGTTGACCATTAAATTATTCTCAAAATCGGAAAGCGCTTTTACGTGATGTAATTTTTAAGAGTCGAAGATCGTAGTTCAGACTCTTATTTTTTTCAGGAAAAGTTTTGAAATTTGTTCAGGCTCAAATTTACTTTTTTTGCGGTTTGATTTTTTTGATTTCTTTTCAAGTTTATTTCAATTTCTTTCTTGAAAGGAAGGCAAACTAAATTATCGAACAGACTAAACTATCGATGTTGAAAGGAAGGCAAACTAAACTATCTTAATTTCGAAAGTGGAATTTAAATTTCAGGTTGGAAAAAAGTATCTATCGACACAGTTTTGTCAAAAATAAAAAAGTGTATAGAAAAGTGACAAGCATAATTTGTTCTAGAAATTCAAAATGATCTAACACCATAAATTTTAATTTAGAAATTCGGAAGTTGAATTTTTTTCAAAATTTTCCATCTCTGTTGCCTATGTTTTACCTTTTTGGCGACAAGCAAGGGTATTGTAACCGGATACTAGATTTTCCCCCTTAAAGATTTCGCTCGTAAAGGTATTTGAACTTAATTCATAATTATTTTTTTGCAGGAATAGCCGGGACCCGTTTGTTTTTTTTTTGCAAATTAAATTTTCTGCTTTCTTCCGTCTCTATATTTTTGTCGGCTGAGTTCCTGTAGCCCGTTCGGCTTTATTTTCAGTTTATGAATGTCTAAGTTCCCCTTGGTGGAGGTGATGTTTCTGTTTGTGGAATTGATTAGTTCAAATAATTTTTTTTGCACAAATGAATTTTTTTTGAATTTTTTGCTCCTAACATTAATGTGCACGGAATTTTTAGGCATACAATTATTGTTTGCGATTAGCAAGCGTTATCAATTTGAATCATAGACTTAATCTTGAAAACAACTTGTCCAACATAATCACTTAATCATTTTCCAAATCCGCACTTCGTCAGCCAACAGATATTTTTACGCATGTTTGCATTTCAAGTACCCGTTCTTTCCAATATTCGTTTTTCATGTTGGCTTTAAATTATCCAACTCCGGTTGTATGAATTCTTTTTTTTTGTTTACGCGGCTTGAAGTATTTTTGTATTAAACCTAATCGTCCTGATTGCCTCATTTTGCATAGTTGGATGAGCAAAACAAGTTTTTTATGCGTGTGAGTCTCCTAGGAGGGTAATTTGATATTTTAAAAAAGTTTTTTTTAGTATGAGCGTTATTATTTTTAAGCTCAATGGTTGTCTGCTCAAAAATGTCAATTTTGGAACCGGTTTGTAAGTTCTGTTTCGATGCTATTATAATTTTCAATGCTATTATTTGACATGTTTTTTCTACAAAAGTTTGAAACTTGTTAAAGTCAATTTGAGACAAAGATATGAAATTTTGGCAAATCTAGCTTTTCTCGACGTTTTCAAAAATAAATTTTCTCAAAAGTGGTGATATTATCTTTCAAAATAGCGGTCGCATATTTTCCTTTTCACACCAATTAAGTTCACAGAGTTGATGAATTGGGGGGTCATTGCTTACGATTAGTTACATTTTTGAAGGCTATTTTTATTTGTTTTTACGTTCATTAGGCTATAAGTAAAGGCGGGAAACCGAAAAAATCGGCAAAACGTAGTAATTTTTTTGCAATTACAAATGTGATTGGTAATTTCTGTGCTTCTTGCACAGGCAGCAACCGGTTACTTTATAGAAATGAATTTGATCTATTAATTTAATATGCAAGTTGTGTGTTGTAGATTGAGAACAGTGGCGACGTGTGGGTGAACTTCACCAACCCCCAGATCCTGTCCTACTGGGAGTGCTGTTACATGCTGATGGTGACCATGTCCACTGTCGGCTATGGAGACATCTTCCCCAAGACCACATGTGGCAGGATGTTCATCACCATATTCATCCTCATCGGATTCGTAAGCGACACAAAATAAACTACAATAAAAAGTTGTGGTCCAAAAAAAAACCAAAAACAGCGTATAGTTCTTAAACAGGGGAACATCAGCGTTTTGGCATGTTCTTTTAAAATTTCGCCTGCGGGGCAGAAATTTTGGCCAATATAGGGTCTTTACAGTGATTTGGAAGAGCTCGGAAAAAATAATTTGGATGACCAAAAAAAAGTTCATCATTTATGAAAATCCGTTCCCCCTCGAGAAAATCCTAGATTCGCCCCTGCTACCCAAGTCTAAATGATCTTAATTATTTGGCTGTTATACCAACCATCACTGCGTCAATTTTTTTATATTTTGTTTATTTTTTTTTCACGTCATTTTTGTCTTATTTACAATAAATTTGAGAAACAATAGTAAAATTACTGGTTACGCCATAAAATTGACGTTTATGAATGTCGATGAGAAAAGGGCGGTAAAAGAGTCTACTCCTTTTCGTCTGAAGAGTCCTTTTGGATTACAACGCCATGCATTTGGAAGTTTACCATGTCGTGAACAGTGTTTTAAAAAATTTGGCAAAATGTACGTTTTCGTAGTTTTCGTTTCTAAGAAATAGCGGACCTATTTTAAAAAAAGTTTCCAAAATTTTTATTTAAAAAACGCATGAATCAGTTCTAGCCAAGCAATGTTGCCTGATTTTAGGCCACATTCGCAAGCTATGTACCCGAAATTGTAGAACTTGTCTCAAACAGAAAGAAGTACGGAGGCTCATACAACCAAGAACGAGGAAGAAAGTAAGTGATTTTTTGGAAAGTGAGGATTAATCGTACCGGCTTAGTTAGTGTTTTGTTCAGTTCTCAACTCAAGCAGTTCAAGATTTTATCTTGAAGTACTTAAGTTGGTGTCCGAAAGGCATTGGTACGAGTTTAGACTCTTGGCTGTCAAGATTATCTTTTCGCAAATAAATTCTTAGATGATATACTGGGTCGACTTCAGAATTAAGATTTAATAATTGAACAAAGAAAAACACCAACTGTTATGAATTATTGCTTTGAAGCTAAATAAGAGGTGTCGAAATTTTGGATTTAGGCTCTATTTAACGATAAGAAATGACAGCAGATGATTGATTGTCTGGGTTTTCAAGGAAGATCTCGGTGTAATGAGACCAGATCATTTATTTCAAGCTGTGTTGTAAATGCTTCTAGGAAAATCCAGCCACCTGTCATGACTTACAATTTAATATACACATAGACACCATGTGTCCTTGTTAATATTGTCACTGCCGAATTTCCTGTTTCGAACGAGTGGTTATTTCGAAGTGAATTCATACCAGTGTTTGCTCAAGTTTAAACTGGGCTTTGAGCTTAAGTGGTGAGTTGGGTGATATTTAGACTGTGTAATTCTTATTCGCCCCACTGGTCATCAATTTCCAAAAGTGCGACGTCACTACAAGTGAGGACAGTTGACAGAGAAAATGGTTATGTTGAGCCGGAATACTTCGATTTTGTGTAGACTACAGATAGTTCGCTAATAAGTTATTTTCGGAAGCTAATAGACGTGCAAATCGAGACTCAAATATTAACTGGACGGCTGCCGGGTTTGAAATTTGTTCTCGTGTTTTGCTCTCAGTTTTGATAAAACATGATAGTAATCTGAGTGAGGCTCGGCTGTGTAGAATTAGTTTGTGAACCAGTGCCACGTCCTGGCGTCTTCTGCTTAAACGTTATTTTCCCTCAGACTTCAGCTAGATAGACCCAATCTATTCTAATGTGTAGTTTATTCGTCCGGATTTGTATCAAAATTAACTCCTGCCCAAAACATGCTCGCATTTTGCCCGCAAATATTTACATGAAAAACAAAAACAAAAAATCGTGTTTGAATTACGCGACTGAGATCTCAGTTTTGGGTCTGAAAGATCACGGAGTATCAACTTTGGGTCATTAAAAACCGCATTATTGTCTCGATTCGATATTTGCACAATATACCGGATAGAAGAATTTCCCCTGTTATTGCATCTTCGTTTAAAAAATCAGTTGTATTGAACTGAAATCTTGTACCGTATGTGCACGTAGATGTAACGAATACCTGGGACGGCAAAGGTACTAGTTTCGAATCTGACCAGGACTTGTTTTTTTTCGAACGGGAAATATTCCGTTTCAAATAAAATTGTCTGCCAATTTTGTCTGCTTTTTTCGGCTTAGTTGCGAATTCTTGGAATCGTTTTGTTTGCAGCGCGAATTTAGTGTTTGACTTATTTCTGCAATTTGTAATTTTACTTAGACTCAGTATTTCATTTTTTGTTTTTTTTTGTGACGCTTGAAAATTTTGTTTGGCCCAAATTATTTTTTGGTCGTTTCAAGGGAAACATAATTTTCACGCTCCCCTCCGCAATTTTTAATTTGGTTGTATTTTACCACTCGGTTTGTTGAAATTTCGTGTTTTTTTGGCTTAACAGGTTTCGGCTTGTTTTAAAACGGCTTATGAGCCTCTTTTTGCGTCTTTTGATGCGCGCAAATGGTTTTATGTGCCTCTGTGTGTCAGAAGGGGAAGGAGGACGCAAAAATGTGTTAGTTTTGAAAAATAGTTTGGCTTGATGAGTTTCTCAGGTATTTTTGGCTTTGTCATCGCTTGTTTAATTTTGCTCCGATGCTGATTTTGCAATTTTTTGTTTGGGCATGTTTTTTCACCACCATCTCCATTCATTTTGTTAGATCTAATTGTATCGCTAGTGGCGCGAAGCTCAGCTTCGCCTCTGTGGTTGCATTTTACATTTGTATTTCATAAGAAATCCCACTTGATGAGAACAGCTCTTCTGAGGACCATCGATGCATGTCCAATAATATATTATGAAGTTCTTGTTGCTCTGATACCTACATCTGGATTAAAGTTCCAGATTTGAAAACTCAAACCAAGTCAACCTAATTTTTTCTTGTTCATGTATTTGACTTGTTTTTGAGCAGACAATTTTCTAAGCGTATATCATCTATCAAGTGAAACGACTTGTATTTATGACTCATTCGATGTGACCTTGCTAGTATGCTAATGGAACATAATCTTTTTAGGCACATAGTTGTGTGTGGACACATAAACTACGAATCAGTATCCAGTTTCATAAAGGACTTCCTCCACGAGGACAGGGATGACGTGGATGTGGTCATAGTCTTCATCCACCAGTCGGCACCTGACCTGGATCTCCAGGCACTGTTCAAGAGACACTTCACCCAGATGGAGTTTTTCCAGGGATCAGTTATGAACACCAAGGACCTCGAGAGGGTCAAGGTCAGTAGATAAATCAACGTTTTTTATTTGCTCAAGCGTGCTTGGCAGCGAAGGGTTATGGGATCAGGTAAATTTTCCTATCATTTAAGTGCAAATTTTTGTGTTAATTAAACAGCATATGACCTAGCTGCCTCCGCCTATTAATGCTCATTCTTTTGACTCTTCTTTTCCAGTTTTCCACTCACTCGTAAAGTTACAAAATAAAAAATATTCAAAAATTCTCACACGAAATTCGAAAGAAAAGCCTCCTAGAGTTCATTGACTATTTGGGTATTTCCCATCATAGCTTCCAGCGTAGTAACATAGGCATAAGCCCACCTACTCTGAGATTTGAACACTAGAGTGGTTATGTTTTGCTTCAGCTACAAGGGAAAGACCCGACTTTTTTCAACTATTTGTTGGCTATGTTTTTAGTGTTGATTTTTGTGAAAACCGTTTGATTTTGGAACAAATTGATGTGTAATACTTTTTTGTCAATTTATTTGTATCAAATCGGTTGTAGACCAGGAAGTGAATAATAATTTCCTTACACTACCGAACTTTAGTGAGCGTTAGTGTAATAGTATGACAATTTTTTCTAATCTTAGTCGCAAATATTGGTGCCACTTATGGTGGGACCCTCACGAGTTTTTGATAGCATGTGCTTCGACATTCGAACAGTAATAAGGTAAAACAGTTGATGCATTTCATCAAATGAACCGGAAAAAAAATATAATTGTTTCAAACAACGTAACAATAATAAAAATTCGATTTCAGAAGTTTTGTAACTTAATAGATTTCGCAATTTTTTGAATTGCTTATTTTATACAATGTGGCTTCATGCTTTCAATTTTTTACATGCAAAGTTAGTGTGGATGTCTAAAGTTTGTTATATTCCAAATTGTGTTTTGCGAAATTGTGTCTATTTGTATTTAGTGCCACTTTTGGTGCATAGCATTGACAATTAATTAGCATATGTAATTGCTTTATTTGTGACCAGTGTTAGCCGATTGTTAAGCTTTCTTGGCTGAGAGGGCAAGGCTTGAGGCGCCATTTCTCGGGGTTGCAGGTTGGAAGCCAATAGGTAGCAAAGTTTTACTAATTCGAGGCTTATTTCTAATTTTCTTATTTCACTTTATAAAGCTGCTTTTTGTCTTTTTCTGTTTTTTTTTTGTTTCTCTGTATAAAGCTTCTTTTTTTTGTGTGCTCACTAGTGTTTGTGAAGCAAACCTTTTTGTTGATACATCTACTCTAAATAATCGGGATTTTACTAGATAATAGGCTTATTTTTGAATTGTATGAAGTTCGCCCAGTGTTGTGTTAACTAGGTTGCTTAGAATAATCAAGAAAATTTCGAAAAGACTTTTTTTCCCGTGATTAACTTTGTCCACAAGATCTGCACTTCTAGAGGATTTTCACTCCTAAGCAGTATCTTTTCTCTAGAAGATACTTAAGTTATAATTATTTCAAACCTGTTCCAGGTAGTACTTATCTTTTCAAAAAAGTTTTTATTTTTTTTTCGTTCGTGGTTTTCGTCCTAGTTTCTGTCGTTTTTTTCCCGTTTTTTTCAAACGCCATTTTTTTTTATCTGGTAAGGTTTTTTCTGTTTTTTTAAGCATGGGTTTTGTTCCAATTCAAACACTTTTTACTTTAACTGGAACTTCACAAATTTATCAATTTTTCATGTCTGTTTTGCATGACTTTTTTTTCGTTTTTTTTTAATATTCAAACAGTTTCAGTTTGTTGTATCGATTTAGTCAACTTATTTTGTGTAATTTGAAGAGCAAAATATAGCCGTTTGGGATTATGTGTTTCAGTTCGGATGGGTCGTTAAAAATTTTTAAATTTTATGAGTTTTTATGACAACAGTTTTGTTTTCGGCTCAACAGGTTTCGACCCAAAGTTTGTCTGTTGCCGCTCAGTTAGGTTTTGTTGCGGCTCACAAAATGATTTCCATTTTTTAAGGCCTGTTTATGAGCTTCATCCGATACAAATATGAAGTTTTTGTAGTTGTTATTTTTCAACTTTTGTCAAGTTATTTTTTCAAGTAATTTTTTCCAAAATAATTTATCAGAAATATTTTTGACTTCTGTATTTTTTTTTCATTTACTGTGTTGTAGCGCAATATGTTTTTGTGCATTGCATTTGTTGCAAAATTCCGCTTCGCCTCTGTGTTGAATTATATTTTGTCACATAAACATCAGAATCGTAAAACAATCACGCAACTTTATATGGCAGTAAAATTCGAAACTCAGTTTTGGTTGCTCATTTTGACGGAAACGATATATATCAAACGACCTTAAACTGTGATGAAAATCTATAAAGCTAGCATAATAATCAGAAACGTAAGATGTTGACCGCGAACCATTTAGGGTAGCCGACGCTACCGGCTAGTTAGTTTAGCGGTCAAGGTTAATCATTTTAACTAGAAAAAAGGACGAAAAACTGTCTGTGGGGGTATGATCCACCCAAGTCCCAACATTTAAAAAAAACACTATCGCTACATAGCAAATGGCATGGTGCGAATCGAACCCGGAATTTTTGATCACTCGTCAACGATTTATACGTTAGGCTCATATCGTTTCATTTTCTGGTTATAAAATGGAGGTAATGAAAAGAACTAAGTGCGGTTTCACTTATTTGTACCGTGGTTTTTCCAAGAGTGGATTGACGCAGTGAAGAGTCTTATACATGTCTTGATGATTTTTTGTTTTTTTTTCCAGGAAAAAGTCTTAAACTGCTCTTATAACTACAGATGTGCATTCAATACACTTGCGAAAGCAGTTGTCTTGTAAAAGGGAAGACTTTTTTCCGTAAACAATTTTTCTCTCAAACTCACTTATTGTTTCACTTCCTATTCTTTTCTCCTAATAACTTTCAGGCTCGTTCCCAGCCTAGGGGTAGCGCTGTTGCCTTTGGACCCGAAGTACTGGTCTCGGCCGGACCTTTTTTTTGCAGTATGTATGCAATTGAAAACTTTTTCTCGTTAAAAATTGAATGGTCGGACTTTCGTTTCTCTGCTCAACTTCTGTCGGCTTAGTTGCCACATAGTTTTTTTGTACTCAATTGTATGACATCCTTGCCTAGAATGAACTTCTATCGAGACATACAAAAATTCAATTTTTGATAGAACTAGTTTTAAATCAACTTGTTAAGATTCGATGAACGTAGTTGAGATATAGATCGTGGTGATTTTAATATAGGGAAAGTCTTAAATTGCTCTAATAACAAGAAATGTATTCATATTTTTAAATGCACAGATGAATGCTCTAAGGTATATATGCGTTCAATTCAAGTTCTTTTGCTAGAAGGTAGGCAAAATGCAACTTCCAATTATGAAGGCTTAAATGGCAAAAAAGTTGAGATCGGTGCCTAGTTTCGAAAGTGGAGTTTAATTTTTGGATTTCCGAGCAAAATAAAATTTTTATAGCAATGCAGTTTTCTCAAATTGGGTTAATATTTTCAAAAATGTGTCAATAATAACTTGTTCTTGAAATTCAAAGAGCTTTAAGGCCATATATTTTTAGTTTGGAATTCGAAGTTTTTTCAAAATTAAATCATTTTAGTTTTTTTTGCGCTCATTGACTCTTACCCAAATGTCTGTTGGCTATGAAATAATTTTTAAAAAAATTTAAGTTTGTTGTATCGCAATAGGTGTGAAGCTCTGCTACGCATCTCTGTGACTTATGCTAATTACGGAAAGGCAAATACCACGAAAAACATGAAAGTTTGGATGGTGGGTTTTAAGCTTTCCCAGCGCAATACAAAGTTAACCTGGTGATCCATTTTTCTAACGTTTTTTTATGCAAAAAATGTCAATCATAAAAGATTCATGAAATTCAAAGAGCTTTTAATCGATTGTTCATCTCCGGAATTCAAAAGTTCAAAATAGTTCAAGAAAATTTTTTTTCGGTTTCTTTTAATGGCACTTTCAATTGCGTTGGTTTTTTCCATATGTTGGCTGTTTCAGACATGTGTTAATCTATAATGCGAAATATTGGCATCGAAAGTTTGCATCTGGTTAGGCAACTAAGGTTCTTCAATCACTGATAAATTTAAAAAGTGGATAATAATCCTGCTCATTTTTTGGCAGCTACTTGTTTCAATTTTGAACAGTCGTATGTATGTAAGATCATTCCGAGTATCACAGATCCCGATACCGTACCTTAATGCGGGTATTTAAATTGCTGCTCTGTAGTTTGCGTTCAAAGTCGTGTTAAGATGTCCTCTTTTGATATCAAATTAGCGTCGATGAGTGACGTAAATAAAGCTCTAAAAGGAGGACACGAATTGATTGAACCCACATTTTTGGGATTAGTGTGCTTTATTACAAAGGACATAGTGCCTAAATGTGAAATATGTTCTTGGATTGGCTTGGATCGAAATTACTAGAGGAGGGTCACGTATCTAATTTTGAGCGACTGTCCGTGAGTTAAATCTTGATCAGGGGCAGTCCTTTACTTAAGTGGTCCATGTTGTTACAACAAAGTTAGTTCTGTTAGTTTAAGTGAAGTATCGAAGTATGTATCCCAAGTTGTTTCTTTAAAACTGTTTCTCCTCTCAGACCAAACATATGTTAGATTACAATGTAACCGACAGGTCATGCCATTTAGCAAAAGTTCAGCTCAATTTTCTATTTCACGTTTTGCTGTCCAATTTTTTTGATTTGTTGTTCAAAATAGATTGTTTGCATTTTTTCCTAAATCGTCAAAAAATAATTGAATTCGCTAAATCGGTCTTTAAATAATTGACTAGCAAAACTTTTTCTTCTAATTTAGGTTTTGGATAAGCGAAGCGGGCAGAAAGGAGGTAATGAATTGCGTCTCCTTTTATGCCCTGAAGTGTGTACTATTTCCGGTCTTGACAAACAGTCAAGATTATTGGACTCAACATGCTGTGAACAAGCTAACAACCCTATTGGCATGTGGACTAACACTCGTCATTGTAGAAAGTGTAAATCTCAACCACAGGAGACGAAATGCAATTAAAATGCTCGTCTGTTTCATTTCCTCATTATGTCAAGGGGAGGAATTTCAGGAGGGCGAAGATCTCCTTAATTGGATTTTTGAGTGGGAACTTTCAATTAAGTCTCCTCTCCTTTTTCTCCGCGTTTATAAGGCGGATACAGCTATGATAAATTGGCCCATGCTGCAATTTTTTTTGGGTTTCCGTAGAGATTTAATTTACAATGCGCGAATAGCTAGGGATACTAGAGTTCCTTCAATAAGATCATAATCAATACATGTCGAATGCATAGGGTGGGGGCGGGCTCTTAAAGTAAACAATTTATTTTGAGGATTTAAAGATTTATTTCTCCTTTTTGTAGGCTTCTGAAATAACGAGTTTTGAAAATTTTAAATCTCAGTACATGTTGCTCAGTCGAAAAAAATGCTCAAGTTCCCGGCCATTTTTAATATCAGTTTTTTGGAGTCGATGAACGTAGTAAAGACTCTTATACATGTGGTTTTCAAGTTCCGTTCAATTCCTTTGTTAAAAAATGGCCACGTTAGAGGTCACGAAAAACTTAATTGACTTCTAGTTTCGAAATTGGATTTTCATTTTCAGATTTCCCAGCGGAATAAAAGTTTTACCTATTGATCCAGTTTTCTCAAATTGGAACAATTATATCAAGAAATTGTCACTCATGAATTGTTGTATAATTTAAAGAGCTTTTAGGCCATTTTGTTTCATTTGGCCATTTTGAAATTCGAAAATTGAGATTTTTTACTGTTTGCTTGCGTTTATTGACTCGTTTCCGACTCTCTGTTTTACTTGAGGGCTATGTTCAGTTTTACTATATCGCAGCTTCAGCTAAAGTGAGTTGACGTTGTTGAGAAGATATGTGATTATAAATGATTTTGGTCGTATTTCAGATTGACCAGGCGGACGCGTGTCTCATCCTGGCAAACAAGTATGCGTGCGACCCCAACGCAGAGGACGCCGGCAACATCATGCGCGTCATATCAATCAAGGACTTCCACCCCAAAATACGCATCATCACCCAAATGCTTCAGTACGAAAATAAGGCAAGTAGTATTTACAGTTAACGGGAATTGATTAAGAGTAATGAACGTAGTGAAGACTCTTATAAAGGTCTTGCTGATTTTTAAATTTTTTTTTGAGGAAAATTCTCTAATATCTACAGATGTTTATTCATACATATTGATGCATTTATGAATTCACTTAGGTATACATGCACTTTTTGAGTTCAATTGGAAATGGCGCGAAAAAACGTGAAGGGTTTCTAGTTTCAAAAGTGGTATTTAATTTTTGGATTTCCAGCGGAATAAAACTTTACCTATTGATCCAGTTTTCTCTAGTTGGGTTCATGTTATCAAAAAAGCGCCAATCATAAATTGTTCTTGAAATTCAAAGAGCCTAAAGGGCTTCTATTTTTTCTCTGAAAATCGAAAGTTGAGATTTTTTCAAGAAAGTCAGCGTTTTTTTAAGTTTATTTGCATTCATTACTCTTTTCCAATCTTCGTCTGGCTATGTTTTATGTTTACTTGCGTTCATTACTCTTTTCCAATCTTCGATTGGCTATGTTTCTGTAATTGTACTCGTTTGCAATCTGGGCAATCAAGACAAGTGCGCATGAGATTGCTCAACGGTTTCATTGAACTGGAATTCTATAATTGAAGGAACGAAAAATTGTATTAGTTCGCTATGAGTTCTGCGAAAATGGTATGTGGTTGCGTTTTGTATTGCCTCGAGAGTTAATCATGTAAGTGTATGTGACTGTGCGTTGCAGGCGCACCTCCTGAACATTCCTTCGTGGAACTGGCGAGACGGGGACGACGTGGTGTGCCTGACGGAGCTCAAGCTGGGCTTCATCGCACAGTCCTGTCTGGCGCCAGGCTTCTCCAGTGTGATGGCTAACCTGTTTGCCATGCGCAGCAACCCCAAGGTCGACGAGGAGGGCAACTCCTGGCTGAAACACTACCTGGCCGGGACTGCCAACGAAATGTATACCGACTATCTCTCTAGTGCCTTCTCAGGACTCACCTTCTCCCAAGTGGCAGAGTAAGCAGAGACACATTGCACAAAAAATGCGAACAATAGAGGCCTTTTAAATTTGAAAAAAAAAATTAGAAATTTCATTTAATTCTCATTTGGTAAAATATTTGCTAAATTTGGAAGACAAAGCTCGATCATTTGTTATTAAGTGTCAATGAACATAATAAAGACATTTGTATGGGTCTTGTTGATTTTTTTTAATGAGGAAAAGTCATGAATTTTGTGCACGCTAAAATTCGATTTTTTTTGCGTTTTTTTGGTTTCTTTTTAGTTTCTGTTCATTTCCTCTGTTAAAGGGAAGACAAAATCCATTATCGATAAGCAAATGTGTTAAGTTCATGAAAAACTTGATCGGTCTCTATTTTCGAATTTTTTCAATTTTTAGATTTCTCAGCAAATTAAAAAAATACTTAATGATTCAGTTTTCTCAAATCGGGTTAGTTTTATCGAATAAGTGTCAATAATTAATTGTTCTTGAAATTCGAAAAGAAATAAGCACACAAGTTTTTCTTTGAAATTAAATATAGGTCTTGACCGCGATAATGTTTTTTTTTCAAAAATTCTAAATTTGTTCACGCTGTAATTTGATTTTTCGTAGTTTGATTTTTGTTTTAACTGCAGATCATTTCCTTTGTTAGTTTCAGGTAGCGAAAAACGTGATCAACTTCGAATTCCGAAAGTGGGTTTCAATCAAATTTTCCACCGGAATAAAAACTAAAAATTGATGGAGTTTTTGGAGGCAGTGTTCATAAGTCTATATTGTGCAGATAATTTACATGAATAAATTCTATATCAATGAGTTTCTTAATCGTTTTTTAATCCGCAATTTTTTTTGAACGAAATCTATTCGGTTTCTTCCTAGTCTTAAGAAAATTGTGAACGGAGATATTTGTTGAATTTTCTGAATTTTGTAGGATGATAAAGTTTTTAAAAGATGCGATTTTCTCTTACTTTTTGGCAAGTTTTTTTTTCGCAGAGGTAATTTTGTCTAATTAGGATTTGAAATGTTAATGAGCGAAGTGATTTATCACTTATTTACACAACGACCGTAATGTAGCACGGCAATTCTTTTTTCTTCCAACATAAGGCGCAAATATTGGTGCCATTTTTTGTGGCACCTTGACGGCTTTTTGATAAGGTGTGCTTTGATGTTCAATTAGTAATAAGTTAACACAGTTTCTTCATTTTTAATTCATACAGTACAACAAAAAATTCGATTTCAGAAATTTTCCAACTCAATATATCTGGCAAATTGTTTTTTAAATGCATAGTTTATACATAATTTGTTTCCAATTAATTATATGCCAGGTTTTTGTGGATGGCTTCAGCGTGTTATATTCCAAATGATTACATCCAATATTATGCCTATGTGTATTTGGTAGTACTTTTTGCTGCACTGCATACGCAATTTTATCAACATATAAAGCTGCTTTATTTGTGGCCAATGTAAGTGAATTGTCAAGGGCTGGTGGCGCAGATGTGAGGACAGGGGACTCTAAATCTCCTGGCCGGAAGATCGATTAGGCTAAAGCAAAAGTTTTAGTCCTCATTTTTTTTCTTTTTTTAAGAGCTGCTTTACTGTCGTTTTCGCGCAAGCGAAAACGACAGTACGAACTTTCTCTTTTTTCCATTCTAAGTCGCAACTAGAAGTGCTACTTTTGGTGGCAGTTTTGAATCGGCAGGCTGCGGTAGCAGTATAATTTCATATGTGCTTTGACATTTGATTAGTAAAAATTAACTTGTGATATATTCTTAATTCATCAAATGAATCGAAAAAAGTTATTGGTTTCTAACAGCGGTACAATGATAAAAAGCTGGATTTCAGAAATTTTCCAACTCAAGGTATCTCGAAATTCTTTTTGAAATGCATAATTTATACATAATTTGGCTTCATGCTTTCCAATTTATTACATGCAAAATTGTGTCTTTTTGTATTTGATGCTACTTTTGCTGCTTCGAATTGGCATTTTCTTAGGATATGTAGCTGCGTTATTGATGGCTAGTTTGTAGGGAATTCAAGCATCCGTGGCTGAGTGGTAAGTGCATGAGACTCAAATTTGCTAGGTCGTAGATTCGAATCCGACACGTAGCCGAGTTTTTACTAATTCGAGGCCTACTTCTGCTTCTTCTTATTTCACTTGATAGAGCTGCTTTTTGGTCGCGTTCTCGCAAGTGTTTGCGAAGCGCAGCATCGCCTCTATGTATAATTTGGTCGCGCTCAAGTTAAATTTTTAGTATTTCCAGTTTTTTAAAGTTGCGAGAGGAAGTGTCTTGTAATCGGGAACTAGACTTGTTTCCCCATAAACAACTTTCTACAATTCATCTCATATTCTCTTTTCTTTACAAACCTTTTCTCCATGATGCTCCTCTTAAACTTCCAGGTTCCCTCTCATTTGGCCCAGAGGTAACGCCGTCCTCTTTGAGTCCTAAGGTCTGGGCTTTGAGTCTAAGCCGTACTTTTTTTTAAGTTTGTATGCAATTTGAAAAATTTCAGTAAAAATTGAATTGTCGGACTTCCGTTTGTGATCTCAAGTTTTGTCGGCTTACTTGCCATTTAATAGGTTTTGCTCGTGCTATAAGCAGCATTCATTGTAGTTGCAAATGCAAGTGTTGTTCATTCTAGCTTCAGGGGTTTTGAAGTGTTTGAAGCTATCGCAAGGGTATTACAATTGGGTACTGATTTTTTTTCCCGTAAACAACTTTGTCCACAGGACTCATTGAACTGGTGGTACCTTGGTTCATAATGAATTCAAAATTTGTAGTTCTTTTGCATGCTTAGCCTGGTGGTAGCGAGTACTCCTGGGACGGCCAAGGTCCTGGATTCGAATCTGACCAGGGCCAGTTTTTTTTTAACCGTAATTGTTCCGGTTCAAAAAAGTTTCGGCCTATCATTTTTCTGCCTATGTTTTATCGGCTTAGTTTCCATATCTAAGAATCGTTCATTATAGCTGTAAACAATTTAAATTGCAGTTGTTTTTAGCATTCTAAAGTTCCGGCCGAATCGAAATTCGCTTTTCACATGGTTGTAATTTAACCAGCTCGATTTGTTATTTTTTTCCCGTTTTTTCCGTTTTTTTATCGGCTTAATAAATTTCGACCTAATTAGTATCGACTTAGTGGCCTCTTATTGCGTTGTTACTTCCAAAAAAATTTTGTGGGCGTGTGTGTGCTCTGATGGGAAAAGGGACTTGACATTTTTTTTAGCTTAGAATTTTTCTTTTCGGAATGAAGGGTTTCTGCTCAGGTTTTTTCGGCTGTGTTACCGGATCTGGCGTAGAGGTAAAAATAACTACTTGGGATGGCAAACATTTGCGGTTCGAATCCGGCCGGGCCTTTTTTTGCAAACTAGAGTTTTTGTGCTTTTTCGGATTATCATTCGTCTGTTTATTTTTGTCGTCTTAGTTCCCGTAGCTCGATGGTTCAGCTTTATTCCAATTCGCTGTAACCCTCGTGCTTGAGATTACAAAGCACGGGAGTTTGATTCCAGTTGAGACATGTTTTTCCTGTAAATAGAAAAGTTTGGCTAATGTAGTTTGTCTATCTGCTTAGTTCTGCACAAAGGACTTTTTCTGACAGCATAACTTCTTTATAGCATTCCCAAAGCTCTTTGTAGAGTTTCTAATGGTACAGGAAGTTTTTTCCGGATATTTTGGACTTTTATTGCAATTTATTGACAAAAACAATTTTGTATTTTTTTTTCCGTTTCGCCTTTGAATTTGCTCTGCTTCGCCTCTGTGTTTAAAGTTTAATTCTGAAATCTGAAAACCTATAATCCATTTTCGAACCCAAAAGTCATTCACGTTTTTCATATGTATCACCACGCAATTGGAACAAAAAGATAACCGGTTGCAGTGCTATTTTAAAAAAATTTTAATGTCATTTTATTCGTGGCGTAAGGAGAGGATCTGAACGAAAGCCTTGAACTTATTAATATTCGACGTTCTTTTTATATTAGACATCTTTGAGGATAATAATTTTGCTTCAATATTAAATATGAAAATTTGAAAACCAAAAACCAAGTTTTTAGCAGTACACATATTTAAGTTAATTTTAAGCAGTACTGTTTTAAGCTGTAAGCAGTACTATTTTAAGCAGTACTATTTTAAGCTTTATTTAAGCAGTACTCAAAAAAAAACTTTTTTTGAAGAAGCAATTGCTTGCTGAGAAATTCCAAAAACTATTTTTTTTTATCGTAAAATAAATATCATACCGGTTTTCCTCGTGAGTGGAAAAATTTTTTACAATTAAAAAAAAAAATTTTGTTCGAATCACGACTGAAAGAGCTTGAATATGATCTATCACTTGACTTTCCGATGATTTTACATGCGCAGCGTAGTGTGATAGTTCGATGCAATTTTTTTGAAGGTAAGTCGCAAATAAAAGTGCCAGTTTTGATGGCACTTTTGTCTGCGAAAGTGCTACTTGGGAGCATTTTAAAAGGCAGCATTGGCAGTATTATACCATTTGCTTTGACATTTGGTTAGTGTTGAGTTAAAAGAATTGATACCTTTTTAATTCATCAAATTAACCGAAAAAGTCATGTTTCATGTAAAAGAATGAAAATTTAAAATTAATTTCAGAATTTTCCAACTCAATATATATTGCGTGAGATTTTTGAAATGCACAATTTATACACAATTTGGCTACAAACTTCTAATTTTCTACATTCAGAGTTAGTGTGGTTGCCTTTACCGTAATATATTCCAAATTTTTTCATATAAAATTTGTGTATTTGTGAAATTTGAAGCTACCTTTTGCCCCTTGTCTTTGTTTTTTGTAGGCAGCCAATCGCAAAACCTGAATGTCCGAAGACTGAGGATTAAATCACGTAGACGTTATTCATGTTTTAAAACTCATTAGTTTTTGAGAAACGATGGACCTAGTTCAGTCTCTTATATAGGTCGTGATGATTATTTTCGTTTTAATTTTTGTTTAGGCTCAATTTGATTTTTCGCGGTTTGACTTCGATGTTTTTTTATTTAGTTTAATTTCTTTGTTAACAAGAAGACAAACTCCCTTATCGAACAGTGAAAGTGTAAAAGGCCAGTTCTTTGTGATAATTAAGTATGTGACCGAGATTTAATGTGATAGTTTGTTGATTATGATACAGAGTTATCACACCACGCTCAATTTGATTTAAAAAGTTCAATAAGACCAATTTGAACAAAAAACACTTATTTGAAAGAAGTTGCAGTATTGTAGTTTTGAAAATATGGTATGAATATTTTGTGCTACTTGCACAGCAACCGGCTATGTTCCTTATTTTTACCGTTGTTTTTTTTTCACGAAAGTCCCAAAATTTGTTCACGTTAAAATTTGATTTTACCTGGTTTGACTTTTTAATTTTTTTTTAAAGTTAATTCGTTTTCTTGTTGCAAAATGCAGGCTAATTTCACTATCTCATCAAAAGTAAAAGTCACAAAAAATGTGAATGACTTCTAGTTTCAAAAGTAGACTTAAATTTCTGAATTCTTAGCGGAATAAAAAAATATTAATGATCCAGTCTCTAAGTTGGATTACTTTAAGTAAAAAGTGCCAATCATAAACAAGTCTTTTTTTCAAAGAGCTTTAACTTGATATGTTTCTTCGAAATTCGAAACTTGCAAAGTATTGAATAGTTTTCAACCAACTTTTATTCGGTTTTCTTACTATTACACTTTTCAAAGTGCTTGTTGGCTATGTTTTTTTTTCTTCCCTTTTTGACTATCTCAAAAAAGAACGAATGGGGTCAAATGTGTCGTATTAACGCCCAGTTAGTCGTTATTCGGATTGCAAAAAAAAACTTAAAAAAGAATCGCGAAAAACTATTTTTTTTTTTTCATTTCTTGGACTAAAATGATTTTCAGGCTGGAAATTTCAGATTGATTTTCCAATGTAATTGTTCTGGCGTTTTTACAATATTTGAATTTATTAAACTATTCTTATGGCTCATTTATCATTTCAGTCTCCTCTCGCTAACTAAAAATTGAACAAAAGCTTGAAAATTATATTTCCTGGGTGGTTGAAAATATTTTTACTACTTGCACAGCAACGAGCTAGCACTGTATTTTGTTTCAGGTTCATCTTCGTCAAATTAAAACTACTAATGTTTGCCGTGGAGCTACGAGACGAAAACGACGAGACTAAGTAAGTCAATTTCAAGTCGAATAGCACAAGCTATCAAAGCTCATTTTAGTGTTAGACAACATAATATCCCTGCATACACTTCTTTCATTACCGGTCGGTAGTTCCAATAATAATTTGCATTTTATCTGCTATTAATAAAAGATAACTAGCGCTTTGCGTAAACGAATTGTATCTACCAGATGGCAGCAAAATCTGCAAATTAAAATAAGAGAAAATAACAACTTTTTTGAATTTGAGTTGGACATTTATAAGGCATATTAGAAGTAGCGACTTTGTTATACGACGAATGGCTGAGAACTGGTTGATTTTACTTTTAGCCAACGAAAGTAAGTTCATTGGCTCAACTTCTCACTTAACCGAAACAGAGCAACTAATTTGACGCAAATAGAATCTGTCAGGTGATTTTGCCCTGTAACTGAAAAGGGGACTAAAACAATCATAACTCTTTTAACGCGTTTGGTTTGTCTTTTTAATGTATTTTATTTAACATCATCCTAATTGTACGAATACTTTGAGTATTTTGTGAATAATCATTCTCTGAGTTCATTTATAGCTGCGAGTAACCCCATTTCTTCGAGTAACCCCATGCGAAACATCTCATCTTTCTTAAAAACATTTGGCATAAGTTTTCTGTTTCATTTACCTGACGAGAAACCAAAAATAGTTCCAAAGCGGTACATTTTATTCAAAAACTAAAATACGGTTCAAAAAAGTAATTGTTTATGAATGTTTCAGAATAATAATAAACCCAGGAAGTAAAGTGTACATTCAGGACGGGACACTTGGCTTTTTCATCGCTGGATCAGCTCAAGAAGTGAAAAGGTTAGTCTCAGTCTTTTGGAAACTTGCATGTCTTGAATTTGGCAATTTCTGTGGGAAAACTCAGTGGGGCTTTTTTAAGGTAGACCAATTTGATTTTCCGAAGTTTCTCAAAACACTATCAAGATCCAATTTTGCCAATTTTTTTTTTCACGTCAAATGAGAACTTTCACGTGGTCGTCCGCACACCTCGTAATTACACTGTTTTAAGTAAGTACCAAAAGAGAGAATTTGAAAAATTTCGGCAGCCAGAATTGAAAAGGGAGGAGTTTGCAGCTGGTATGATCAGAAAACTATTGAACTACATTGAAAAACATTGCTGTTTTTTGTTGGCAGGAATGAATATGGCTTCTGTTTTTTTTTAAGAATAATGAACATAGTGAAGGCTCTTATAAGTCTTGCTGATTTTTTTTCAGGAAAAAGTCAAAATATTGATGCACTTAGGTATAATGCACTTTTTATGAGTATTAACGTAGTGAGGACTCTTATATATATCTTGTTGTTTTTTTTTTTGAAAAAGTCTTTAAATTTGTTCACGCTTAATTTTGATTTTTCGCGGCTTGACTTGTAACTCTTTTTAATTCAGTCCATTTCTATTGTTAAAAAGAAGGCAAACTCCACTATCGAACAGCAAAATTGTAAAGGTCACGAAAAACGTGATCGACTTCTAATTTCGAAAATGGAAATTAATTATCAGATTTCCCAGCAAAATAAAAGTTTTACCTATTGATCCAGTTTTCACAAATTGGGTCGATTTTAACAAAAAAATGTCCATCATAAATTGTTCTACAAATTCAAAGAGATTTAAGGCCATCTTATTTTTTTCTTCGAAATTCAAAAGTTGAATGTTCTTGAAAAAAACAAGTCCATTTTTTTTCAGTTTTCTTGCGTTCATTACTCTTTTCCAACTTAGTTGGCTATGTTTAAATGGGTTTTATTCAGGGTTTTCGTCGACCTTTTTTTTCTTTTTTTAGGTCGACCAAAATGATTTTGCGAGCTCTCCCAAAGCTCTCAAAAGACCCTGTTTTGGCCAAAAATTCTAAAATTTTGAAAAAATAGGCCAAAATAGCATTTTTTGGCACTTTTTGGAAAAGGTTTATCAAAAAATCGCTTTTTTCGGCGCGCGCTCCCCCTTCAAATTAGTGTATATTGGCGCCTCAGGCGTCTTTAGAAAAATTTTTGAATCCGTCAGCCAAAAATGGATATCCCAAAATAGTGTCCCTTTGGATCGGAAGGGGGTCGAATCCCTGAGGAGGGCGGGGGGGGGGGGTTTGGCTCCGCCCCCCCCCCCCTTAATGCGCCCCTGGTTTTATTTCAGTAGTTTTTTTTCAGTTTCCTTGCGTTCATTACTCTTTTCCAACTGTTAGTTGGCTATATTTGAGTTCAATTGAAATTACTCTGCTGAATTTGATGTTAATAGCATTCTCCAAATACGTGCGTGGAAATAGCCCGAAAAAACGTGAACGAATTCTAGTTACGCAAGTGGCATTTATTTTAAAGGTTTCCCAGCGGAAAAAAACTTTACCTATTGATCCAGTTTTCTCAAGTTGGGTTCATGTTATCAAAAAAGCGCCAATCATAAATTGTTCTAGAAATTCAAAGAGCTTAAAGGGCATCTATTTTTTTCTTTGAAATTCGAAAGTCAGGTTTTTTCAAGGAAGTCGGTGTTTTTTTTTGAAGTTTATTTGCATTCATTACTCTTTTCCAATCTTCGATTGGCTATGTTTTATGTTTACTTACGTTCATTACTCTTTTCCAATCTTCGATTGGCTATGTTTCATGTTTTCTTATTTTTTCTCAAGGTCACAGGCTAGCCAAGTTTGTCAGCTTCATTTTTGCTCTAGCCAAAGCATTTTTTCTACTAATTTTGGCTTGTGTTGTTATCTAAATTTGATTTTTAAAGGATCTATTGTGCGCTATTTTTCATGTAAATGTTGTCGCATGATGGAGAAATAATCGTTTGAAGGTATATAGAGAAGGCCTGAACGAACCCATGCCTTGTGTCTATAATTTCTTCTTATAAGTTGTTGGTTCAGTTGAAGACTATCCCTACTCTCGTTGTAATTTTAGAGCCTATCACTACTGCAAGTGTTGCCATGACGACCTCACAGACATCCGCAAGATCAAAGAGTGCAAGTGTGCTACAGACCAGAAGCAGAGCAGAAGCACTCTCGTCGGATCACTTGTAGGCCAGAACAGGTCTGGGGGAAACAAAAAACAGCTTAATGGAATTGCCGGCGGACACAACAGGTATTTTTACCATTGGATGCGCAAGGATATTGCAACCGGGTGCTAGACTTTTTCCCCGTAAATAACTTTGTTCTCAGAATGATATGTTTAGGAAATTCGAAATGGTAAATTTACAAATATGCATTTTAGTTGTTTTGCCTATATAGCGCTTGCCTTGTGCTTGCATTGCAGATGGTGCAGTTATGGATCTAGGATTTTCTCGAAGGTGGGGGGGGGGGCGGATTTTCAAAAAAATTATGAAAATTTTGTCGATCTTCTTTTTAGGTCGACCAAACTGATTTTCTGAGCTCTCCGAAATTAGCCGAAATTAGCATAAAGACCGTTTTTAGGGACTTTTTGGAAATTTTTGACCAAAAAATAAAACATTTTGTTTTTTCGGCGCGCACTCCCTGAAAATTGGTATAATTTGGCGCCAAAGGCGCCTTTAGAAAACTTTTAAGGTCAATCAGCCAAAAATGGGTATCTCAAAATTGTACAAAGGGGGGACCCTTTTGTACTATTTTGAAAACAAAATAGTAGCCCCCCTAAATCCGCTACTGAGGTGGTAGGTGTTAGAACTTTCTGAGGTGACTTTTTGTGAAAGTATTTCGGTCCTTTTTCAGCTTATTAAGTGTCTGCTTTAACTCTTTCGGCTTATTTATAACTATGAAATCTTTTACGTAATGTTTTTTTTAATAGTTTTTGGTAATTTTCTGATATTGATTCATTCAACTTTGACAGTGTATTTTTGAAATTTTATTATTAATTCTCCAAGTCTTTTTTTTTTCATAAAAGTATACATAGGTTGAAAAAAAAACTTTTTTTTTCTTTTATATGAATAGATTTTTCGAATATGGATTCCACTTTTCTAGATAAGCAAGGGTATTACAATCGGGTCCTGGAGTCTTTTCCCTGTAAGTTCACAGGACTCATCTGGAACTCTGGACTCATTGCTAATCGTACCTTGTTCCATAATGTATTCAAATTTCTTAGCGTTCCCACCCATTTTATCCCGGAGGTAACGAATATGCCTGGGACGTTAAAAGTCCTGGTTTGAATCTCACCAGGACGTCTTTTTTCAAAGAGAAATATCCTGTTTCATATAAATTTGTCGGTCCAAATTATTTCGGCCTATTTTTTATCGGCTTAATGACCTAATTTTGGGGCGTTTCAAGGAAATTACAATTTTAACACTCCCATCCACACTTTTCAAGTTGGTTGTATCTTTATCGGTTTGGTAATTTTTAGTTTCTCAGAAAATTTTTCTGTTTTTCAAAAAAGAGGTATCAATTGAAAGATCGCCTACTCACCTTTGTGCCTGCATAGTCCACTAGAGTATATTATTATTGAACTTTCTGTCTACAGCCTTCGAAGTCTGTGGGGGAATGTGTGAGCCATATTTTTAATTTTTTGTTTTTCTTTTCTTCAGTTCTCGTTTTCGTCTTCTTCATCCCTCTCAAATCTCAATTTTTGAATTCAATGAATAGAACGGTTTTAAGAGACTCCCCTGCATAATCGGATCCGCTCCGAATAGTCAAATTTTTGACTTTAGACCGTTTAGTGAATCTTTTTCCTTCTATCCAAAAACTAACCTCCCAAATCTGATTTTGGGTTTTCAATGGAGATAACGTTTAGTGGGAAGCTCATTTGCATTTGCCATCACGCCCAAATGTTTTTGACATCAAAAGTTATGGCATTCGGAGTCAAAAAAAGTCAAAATTTTGATTTTTTTGACCGCAACGTTCAAAAAAGTCAGTTTTGATTGTTGACCATTTTTTTTGAAAGTTTTGATTTTTCTCGAGAACAACTCTCCCAAATCTGAGGTTTTGAGTTCAATCGAAATAACAGGTTGCGTGAGTTCTCTCTGCATAAGCGCTACGCCCTAATTTTTCACATAAAGAGCTATGATTCTCGCAAATGTCAACGTTTTGATTTGTTGACCGTTTTTTGGACTTTTCTCGCTGACTAATTATGGCCTTCAGACAAATTAGTTTTGAAATTTTGACATTTTTCTTTGAATTTTTTTACTGTACGGGAAAACATCCATGCCAATTCTCAGTTTTTGTTCAGTCGAGAAACCCGTTTTTGGGAATCTTCTCTGCTTAAGCGATCGCAACCTGTTTTTGCTGAATCAAATCCGAGATATAAAGTTCAAATGAAAGAACCGGTTGCGATAATTGTTCCTGCAGAAGCGGCGACTCCCTAATTTTTTTATAAGAGATGTTATGTTGAAACAAATTTTAATTGTTGAAGGAAACTAGGTGAACCATATTTTTAGTAGGTCTCGATAAAAAATAGCTAGGGGACCAGCTAAAGCTGGAGGCACGTGTTTGATATTGAATGAACTTGCTATAATTTCAAAAGTTTGATTTCAAAAATTGTGATTTCAACGAATGAACTTTGCTCAAAACCTTAGTTGTTTCTCTACTAAAACAAGCGAAAAAAGTAGAAAAAAATGTTGAGATACAAGGTCATCTTTTTTTGTCTTGGAATTTCGAAGTTTGAAATTTTGAACAAACATGTCAGTATTTTTTCTCTGTTTACTTGTGTTCATTGACTCGTTTTCAACTGTATGTTGGCTATGTTTAATCTAATAGGTTTTAAATAAAAATCGGGCTATTGTAGATTTTTACGATTCTGTTGTGAGAGTTTGTCATCAGTGATTGTTTGTGTCATTTAGGTCGCTGTTGCAATTGAATGCGGTTGGGGAGAAAGCGGTGGGAAGTGCCTTGCAGTTTGTAGGCTCCGTAGCCGCCAATTCCAGTGGGGCGGGGGGAGGAGGGGAGCCCCCTTCGGGTGTAGTGGGCATGATGGCGGGAGAGATAGACACTGTGAAGAGATATGACGTCACTGGCATGTTCCACTGGTGCGAGGCCCGCGGAATCGACAAATGTGTCTGGGTAAGCCGCTGAAATGTGTCTAGTTGTTTAAGTTGTGGTGAGATCCTAGATTATGAATTATATGTGGATTGTTTTTAAATTTAAGCTGTAAACAGCAATGGATGTTTGCTTATTCACTTGAACACTCCATACCACAAATTTTGTATTTCAAGATTCACTATACTTATGCTTATATGCTTGCCAGGTATAAAGTTTTCACGTTTACATCAAAATTATCTGTCAGATTTTATTTTATGCCGTTGGCAATGTTCAAGTTTTATTTTCTGTTTCAGCTAAGATCGGAAGCGGACCGTCAGCAACTGTCCGGTCATGTGATCGTCTGCATCTTCGCCGAGGCAGACTCCCCCCTAATTGGTCTGCGCAATCTGGTCATGCCTCTAAGGGCCTCCATGTTCCACTACCACGAGCTGAAACACATAGTCCTACTGGGCAATCTAGAGTATCTACGGAAAGAGTGGGATGCCCTGTGCAATTTCCCAAAAGTCGATATTCTTGTGGTGAGTGTTAACAATGTTTCTACAGTTCATGCAATCATATTTAGGTAGCCATAATTGATAATTAATCGGAAAAGAAACTCATTTTTAGCATATAGAGTTTAGAGGACCTGTGACTTAGCTCATTACTAGACGAAATTGTAAATGGAATTAAACAAAATTAGTCATGCTATGAAAATATTTCGTCTAAGCCAAAAAAAATTCGCTCGAACCGGTCGTATATTTTGTTGGACGAGTCGATGCAAAGTGAATTGTTATTTTAGGGATCTCCACTGAATCGTGCGGATCTGCGCTCAATAAAAGTGAATCTCTGTGACATGTGCATCATCTTGTCGGCCAACAAGACCAAGATAGTGGACCCCTCAGTGACTGACAAGGAGTCCATCCTGGCCTCCCTCAACATCAAGGCGATGCACTTCGGAGAGAACGCTATTGGACATGTCGGGCCAGGACCCCCTCCACCATCCCAAAATGAACAGCAACAGATGATAGGTAGGGTGCCATTGAGTAGAAAGTGAATTTCCGATCATTACGGATCTGAGGTAAAAGTTGTCCGAATTTCTCAAATATCGAGTAGTTGCTCAAAATGTATGTGAGCTGAAGAACAGAAGAATTATTAGTTATTTCATCTAAATTACTAATTGGAAAACTAAAATAACCAAAAATGTATTTTTCTGTTTCAAAGCGACAAACGTTGTCCGACTGAAGTTAGTGTTGATAATTCTGATGAGTTGATGAAATTGATAGGTTTGACTCCAATACCAATTATGCAACAACCGGAAACAACTCCGTCTAGTAAGAAATCGACAGCTGAAGACACTAGTCAACACTCGTCTAAATCGAGCAAAGCTGACAAAAACAAAAACCAGAAAACTAGATCTATATCCAGAGTATCTGAAACGATACCTACAACTGTAATTGACCTATCCAATAGTATGGAGTCCATAGTCAGTATGAAAGAGTCCCTGCAAGACTTTGGACTTGCGGTACCATGGGGAGGCGGGGCCTCTAAAGGCCTTTCGTCTAAATCAGCGATAGCAGCGGTTGCTCGTGAAGCCTCAGTAATTGCAGCGCCGGAAGGTGTGGTTCCGAACGTCGTCAATAATCCGGGGGGAGTTCTTAACTCGGGACTGAATAGCATGAACAGTGATAGTACGAGTACCCTAGTACAAATGAACGCTCAGCAAAATAGTTCACAAATGAGTGACTCAATTTCCAGTCCTCCTAGTTATTCAACTGCCAATTCTGTCCCAGGTACCAAGTGACCCAAGAGTGTGAAGAGTTTTTTGATCACGGACTTATCCTGGGTTATATGCTTTGCTCGTGGGATCTCTAACACTTCCTTAACGATTGAAGATTGAATAACTAAAACCAATATAAAATGCATGCAGTTTTCGGCTTCTTAACTTATGTTTAGATTCAGGGCGAGAGCGGTTTTCTTTTAACTTTTGTGAGAAGGTTTCCTATCTAATTTACATCCATGTTATGATACCTAGCGCTAGTTCAATAAAATAATGATATATCTTGATGAAAACTTTTTTCTCTAAATTTGCGATTCAAAACTTGGAACAATTGTTTAAATTAATTTGGTGGCAATTTCAAAAGTTTGGGATAAACAGGAATTTTGAAGGTTTACACAGCGCTCGTATTGAGTTGATTCGTTGAAAATATCGTATGGGCATATCGAATTTTGCAGGTGCTGCGGCGAATAACAGACAATCGGGTCCTAATCAACCCAACGCCTCGTATCAACAATCTTCGATCATGTCTAACCCTAACAACTCCAATTCCAACATAGCCCCCTCCACTCTCACCCGGGCCAGCGCTCGGGGAGCCCCAGGAGCATCCAGCGCCTCATCATCCGTCGCCCGACCGGAAGTGCTGTCAGGTGGGTAAACTACGCTAGATATTAATTAACTCGCATTTCTCCGATCACCGGTTTTTGCCTGGTTTTATTTGTAACCTTGTGTCTTCGAAATAATTATTGCTGGACTTTGCTGAAAAAATTACTTTTTAATCCAATTTTTGAGCAATTGCTTAAGGGGAACGAAATTTTTAGAAATTCATCTGAGTTTCCGTTGTTTCTTCAGAGATAAGTTTCAGATCTTCTGGTTGAAATAATTTGGTAAATCATCGCGAAGTGATCTCTGTAATTCTTGTGTTTCGGTTAAACATTTGAGTTTCTCATATGACAGGTGCTAATGTGCCGATGATCACGGAGATAGTGAATGACGATAGTGCGCAGTACCTGGACCAGGACGATGACGATGACCCTGACACGGAGCTATACATGACTCAGCCATTCGCCACTGGAACCACGTTCGCCATCTCAGTCCTCGACTCCATCATGAGTGCTGTGAGTATAGTGTTGTGGATTAACAACGTCTTTCTGGGACCGTTTCCCGGATTATCTACCTCTGTCTCGAAGAAAACTAGAATCTTTTCACAGTTTGTTGTCCTTTAAAACTTAAATTTCGAAAATGACAAAATAATTCGGATTTTTCTTTTTGAAACTTAAATGCGTTAATCAAGATTGTGCATCAAGTTAATCAAAATTGTGCATCACTTGGAAAATTAAGAAAATATTTATATGTGTTATTCTTGGACAAAACGTTCTTTTTTTATTGCTAAAAATGGATTATATGCAGGCGTACTTTAACCCGAAGGCACTTACTCTGATCCGCACTCTTGTGACGGGAGGAGCTACACCGGAGCTGGAGCTGATTCTGGCAGAAGGTGCTGGCATGCGCGGTGGCTACACAAGTGGCGAGTCTCTCAAAAACAGAGACAGATGCCGAGTTGCACAGCTGCCCGTGTATGATGGCGCCTTCTCCAAGTTCGCCGTAAGACATTTAATCAAGTGTCATTCAGCGAAATAAAGACATCTGTTTAGGCTGTGTTGATTTTTCGCAGTCTGACTTTTAATTTCTTTTCAATCTCAATTTAAAGTCATTTACTAGCTTGATTTTTTCAACCGGAGAGCAAGAAAAGTATTTACACAAATGAAGTGTAGTCTTATAACAATGACGATAAAAGTGCTCCCTTTTTGCTATTATCACGATCTGTAGCGTTGGAAATCTCATAGCATCTGTTCTCTGCTTTATTGGTGGCTATTGGTTGCCATTAGTCAAGCGTCCGCGGCGTAGAGGGAACGACGTGAAATTCCTAAGCTACTTTTTGGAGGTTTAACGCTGCTTTAAGCACTAATTTATTTATAAAGAGTCGATGAACGTAGTGCAGACTCTTAAATGGATCGCGATGATTTTTTTTCAGAAAAAAATCTTAAAACTTGTTCAGGCTCAAATTTACTTTTTTTTTGCGGTTTGACCATTGATTTCTTTTTAGAGTCAGTTCATTTCTTTTATTAAAAGGAAGGCAAAGTCCACTATTGAACAGCGAAAATGTAATGGTCACAAGAAACTTGATGACTTCTATTTTCGAAAATGGAATATAAGCATCAGAATTCCCAGCCAAAAGAAATCTTTACCTTTTGATCCAGTATTCTCAAATTGCGTTAACTTAGTCAAAAAAGCGTCAATCATAAATTGTTCTTGAAATTCGAAGAGCTTTGAGGCCATCTATTTTTTCAGTTTTTTTTCTGTTCATTCGAATGTTTTTTTTTTCTGTTCATTGACTCTTTTCCAACTGCCTGTTGGCTATGTTATTTGGTGGAATTTTTGCAGCATAGCATTGGCAATTTATTAGCAACTATGGCTGCATCATTAGTGGCTAGGCTTGGGGAAATGGCTTTAAGTGCAAATGGCTTAGAGTTGATTGAGGTTTAAGAATAAAAAGATAAAAAGAATACTGAATTTCAAAGTTCACTGTTTAACTATATCAAAGCAGTGTTACTGATAAAGATTCTTGAATTTCAAAGAGCTTTAAGCGGATATCTTTTTAAAAGGTTGATTTTTTTTAAAACAGGAATATTGGAAGCTTTTGACACTTCTAATGTCTCTACGCTCTGTTTTTGAGTACCAAAAGCCCACCATTCGATCATATTCAGCTGCTATGTTCTACTCGAGTTTTAATGATGGGCTTGTAAAATCACTAAAACGAAAAAAAAACATGATGTTAGTTCTGTAGTTCAATTATTTGTCTGATCTCTGTACACCGCCGTTGGATTTTTTGGTTTGCGAAAAGCATAAAAAGAGTGAATTTTGCCTTAGGATCTCGAACTGCATTTTAAATGTTTGTTGATTTTTTAAGAGTCGACGAACGTGATGATTATATACGTCGTGATGATTCCTTTTCGTTTCGTTTTCAGGAAAAGTATTAAAATTTCTTCAGGCTCAAATTTACTTTTTTTGCTGTTTGGCGATAAGCAAGGGAATTGCAATAGGGTTTCTTCTACTTTTTTCCCATAAACAACTGGGCGCTATATGTGCTTATGTACTGATTGTCGCGAAAATTGTCTCTACACAAGCAGAGCTTGTGTTATAGTATGAACTATCTTTTTTCCAACCTAAGTCGCAAATCTTGTTGCGACGAAACTATTGTTGCGATAAAGTGTGTTCACTTTGAAAGTGTTCATTTTAATCATTTACCAGCTATTAAGTACAGCCAATGCTAAGGATATCAACACAGACTATTTTTGTTCCGACTTTCATTACAAAAGTAACGTAATATTTGTGCTCGGGTGTTTTTTTTCTTCAAGACTTTTTAGCTAGCCTTTTTTAACGGGCTTTTTTTCTTTATCATTCAAAAAGTATTGCTGTTTTGAGCTTAAATTTGTAAAGATATTTCACCTCTGATCATTTTTCGTAAATTTATGAGGATTCAAAAGTTGCCATTTTGGGACAATTAACGCGCGATATGTTCGGCGCTATTAACTCGTAAGCGGAGATTTAATCCGTCATAGAAATCGTTCCAAATTGGTTGAAGGACGCTTTTTTTCCATTATTGATTTGTTTCTAGGAGCGAAATCATTTTGTACTTCATGTGGCGTGTGGAGAAAAAATCTCAAATTCAAAAAAAAAAAAATTTCATTACATATAATTATTTCATTGTATTACTGCTCCATAGACTGCTCTATAAATTGAGGCATGTTAGTTGATAATTTTTTTTTTCAAACTGACTGGTACTGCTAATGCGTCATAATTGGCGTGCTTCACTTAAGAAATTTTGTGTAGACTCAAAGTTTTACTCATTCAGTTTTTCCCAGTAGCGTTATCGGTCATATTTTTGCTTGTGTATGCGAAGTGCAACTTCGTCTGTGTTAAAAAATTTTGAATGGGATCAATCCCAGCGGCCTGCGGCGAATTTGTAATAATAATTATTATATCAGATTTCACACTATATTGTTGCGATAAAGTGTGTTCACTTTGAAAGTGTTCATTTTAATCATTTACCAGCTATTAAGTACAGCCAATGCTAAGGATATCAACACAGACTATTTTTGTTCCGACTTTCATTACAAAAGTAACGTAATATTTGTGCTCGGGTGTTTTTTTTCTTCAAGACTTTTTAGCTAGCCTTTTTTAACGGGCTTTTTTTCTTTATCATTCAAAAAGTATTGCTGTTTTGAGCTTAAATTTGTAAAGATATTTCACCTCTGATCATTTTTCGTAAATTTATGAGGATTCAAAAGTTGCCATTTTGGGACAATTAACGCGCGATATGTTCGGCGCTATTAACTCGTAAGCGGAGATTTAATCCGTCATAGAAATCGTTCCAAATTGGTTGAAGGACGCTTTTTTTCCATTATTGATTTGTTTCTAGGAGCGAAATCATTTTGTACTTCATGTGGCGTGTGGAGAAAAAATCTCAAATTCAAAAAAAAAAAATTTCATTACATATAATTATTTCATTGTATTACTGCTCCATAGACTGCTCTATAAATTGAGGCATGTTAGTTGATAATTTTTTTTTTCAAACTGACTGGTACTGCTAATGCGTCATAATTGGCGTGCTTCACTTAAGAAATTTTGTGTAGACTCAAAGTTTTACTCATTCAGTTTTTCCCAGTAGCGTTATCGGTCATATTTTTGCTTGTGTATGCGAAGTGCAACTTCGTCTGTGTTAAAAAATTTTGAATGGGATCAATCCCAGCGGCCTGCGGCGAATTTGTAATAATAATTATTATATCAGATTTCCCTGCGAAATAAAAAAAATTGCCTAATGAACTTGTTTTTTCAAATAGTGTTATTTTTTTTATCAAAAAAGAGTCAATCATAATTTGTTATGGAAATTCAAAGAGTTTTAGGCCATCAATTTTGTTTTTCGAAATTTGAGATCTTTCAAAATAAAACAAGCCAGTGTTTTTTTCTGTGTGCTTGCTTTCATTGACTCTTTTTCATTTGTCTGTTGTCTATGTTTGCTGGTTCTCAATGCCTAATGAATCGCCATTTGTTTAAGGACGGCGGCCAATACGGTGAGTTAGTCGTACATGCTCTGAAGAACTTCCAGATTCTCTGCTTCGGCATCTACCGCTTCCGAGACGCCAACCTCACTGCCCCCGTCAACAACATCCACAACGGGGGAGTGCCCTGTACCAAACGATACGTGGTCACTAACCCCCCTTACGAGTTCGTACTCTCCCCCACAGACCTCATCATGGCTTTTGTCCCCTTCGACCCACCGCAGAGCCAGAAGCGAAAGGTGAGAATCCTCATTATGTAATCTAGATATACGTTTTCACTTTAGTATTACGCCAATTGGGCTGTTTTGAACGATTTGCTTGCAAGTAATTGTTATAGATTATTTGATCGAAAATATTTGTTATGCCCAAAAAAGAAAAAACGGGAATTTTGCCCTGTTGTTTCAAAAAATTGCCTGAATCCCAGAAGTTTTTGACAAGATATGGTCTTTTCACTGTTTGAAGAGAGAGCGAGAGGGCTCAGAAAATCAATTGAGCTGGCCTAACAGATAGTCTTTTTTTTTTAATTTTATAGGTCATCCAAAATATGGCTTTTTCACTGTTTGAAGAGAGAGCTCAGAAAATGAATTGGGTTGGCCTAACAGATGCCATTTTTTTTATTTTTATGTCAATCAAATTTTCTGAGCTCTCTCTTCAAACAGTGAAAAGACCTTATGTTGCCAAAATTTTAAAAATTAAGTTTTTAAGCAAATTGTTTAGAAAAGAGCAAAATTCCCGTTTCAAATTTTTGAGAAGATTTTGACCAAAAAAGCGCGGTTTTTTTCCGTGCGCGCGTTTTAAACTCAGAAATTGACATAATTTTTTTTAGTATCTTCAGTAATCAAAAGAAAATTTTTACGCTGTTTTACTACATTTATCCATATTTTCAGTATTTGCAGAAGAAAGTCTCTGTTACTACGTGTAAGGATTGTGAATCCGTTCGAATTTCACTGTAATGCGTAAAAACTAACTTGTGCATTTGATTTTGTGTAACGCAACTATTTTAACAGATAAAGTGAGAACTTAGTAGAAGCATCATTTTAGCACATTTGGCTTGAATTTTTCGAGAAGTGATGGATGCAGCAAATTATATAAGAGCGGTTTTATTTAGGAGAAAATTGCGAAGTTTTAATTATCCACCGGATATCTTCGTACTGTAAGTAAAGGTTTGAACAGATTTGAAGTTTGATTTTAACTAACGTTTGCTCATCGATCTTTCTTACGCTTCAATGCTTGAAATTGGATCAAAATCTTTAATTGCTTATTAATAAATTTGCTCAACCTTTTGGAGGGTGGATCTAAAACCCTCTGTGCAGAGTTTCTGGAGCTGAACTTGGTTTGATTTGATTCCACTCATCAAAGAAAATTTCAGTCGCTGCAAATAAAATTCAGGGTTTCTATCAAACATCCATGCTAACACAGTCACGATATAGGAAACTCTTAGGACACTTTAATTCTGATCTACTAATCTAATTTATTTCATTTTTGATGTGAGACGGTGAGTTGTTTAGGTTAAGCGCAGACCGCACAGTCAGTACTACAATCACCAACCTGCCTACCACCAACAAGCTCATCAGCAACATTATTACCCCCGACCGTCAAGCAATGTAGGGGGAGGGGGTGGGGACCTTATGAGAGGTCATTATCAGCAGAACAGCGGGGGGCACCTCCATCACGCGGGTATGAACAAAGTCAGTATCAATGGAGTGCACCGTACATCGCCCCATTTCTCATCTTCAGGTCACGCAATTGACCGGTCAGAACAATTTCTACTTGACCCTCTGCTGGAGTTCAAATGAAGACGCAATCTGTTTTGACGACTCACTTTTGATGCTTTGTGACGGGATGTAGCATTAGCTGAAATGATCAATTATCCGAATGAGGTGTTCTCAAAAAAGTTCAGTAGCTTTAGAATCCATTGCTCAGCGTACGCCCTTCATTTATATTGAACGTTTATCTGTCTTTTCTTAATTTATCCTTTGCCAGGTTTAGATATCAGTTAAATATGTACAAAAATAAAAAGAGATCTTGGTCTAAGTGTGAAATTAAAGAGATCCCTGTAACTCGTTGTGATGCTCGCTTGTTAGAGAATAAATAGTACAGAAAGTGTCGTTGAATCTCTTGAGCCCACGTTTTGTTTTTGACAATATAAAATGAATGAATTTTTCTAGACTACGCTTAGAATTGTTTAAAAAGTGTTCAGTTTCGTCTCCATTTAAAAGGAGTCCCTGTCTATATATTTCTTTCTTCATTTACACTTCTAATGGTGCTATAATTATGTCCTGGTTGCAAGGACCTCTTTAACCCTTTAATTCCGACGCGGGAATTTGACAGAAATGCGACAATAATAACCACTTACAAACGGAATTGCACAAACTATCGCTTCGATGTAATATTTTGGTCACATTGAGTTTTGTTTTTGCCCAATTTGCAATTTTAATCGAATTTAATTTTGTACTTCCAGGTTGAATGATGAATTATGTAATAATTATGCAGTCGGCAGAAATCTTCATCATGCATTGATTTTCTGTCATCATGATAACAGACCTAAACATTTAATCTTTTCTTCATATATTTAATCAGAAATCAGAATTATAGATTCTTTTCAATTGACCCTACCATCTATCCTCATGCCACTGTCAATCATGTGCTAATGTTCGCTAGTTTTATCGCCAGTCTTTTCACAAAAATGGCAATAATCGAAGAATTAGTAATTAATGTGCAAGGTTTTGAAAAGACTTACGGAATGAAAAAATCTTATATGGTATCACAATGATATCGCAAACAAGCGTTCAAAAGGAATTAAAATTGATCGCTTTCTCGCGGAACAGTTAATACACTCAATCAGGGTGGATCTAAAAAAAAAATTCGAAAATTTTGTCGCCCTTATTTAGCTCGACCAAATTGATTTCCCGAGCGCTTCCAGAACATTATGAAGACCAGGGTGACCAACTGGTCGGTAAATACCGACTAGTCGATATTTGGTCGGTGTTTTTTGAAAGTCGGTTTTCTCCTTGATGTAACAATAAAATTAATTTATTTAATATCTTTTCGTTTTTCCTGATATTTCGGCTATTTATCCCTACAGACGGTCAATAGCCATTTTGAACTTGTAGTTCAGTGTTCATAGGTAATTTTATTTACCGAATATTTTGCCAATAAATTAGCACCCCCGGTGATTTTGCCGGTAAATGCATGAGGTCGGAATTTTTTCGAATTCTAGTTGGTCACCCTGATGAAGACCCTACTTTGATAAAAAAAATGTCGCCGCTGGCAAATTTTGAAAAAAAAAACAGATCATAAATGCCGTTTTTGGGTACTTATTGGAAAACTTTAACCAAAAAATAGCGTTTTTTCGACTCGCGCTCCCCTTCAAATTTAGGTTATATTGGCGCCTGTAGACAAATTTTGGGTCGGCCGAAAATGAAAGTCATTAACTAGTACCAAAGGGTTGGCGAGAGGGTAAAATCTCTGAGGGGGGGGGGGGGGGGGGGGGGACTTTCGCCCCCCCCCCCCCCTAAATGCGCCCCTACACTCAATGAATAGGTGTTGAAAAAAAAAATAATAAGTGGAACTGTGCGAATTATTTATTTTCAGTTTGCGACTATCTACAAAACTCATCACATTTGCGCTTTTATGCTCTTGAATATCTTGGTTTCTTCTATTTGTATTTATGTTGACATAAATGGCAGTGCTACTGGTGGTAAATTGGCCAGCAAATCAGGATGCAATAGCATATAATGGCGGGTTACTTGATTGATGATGTGACTTAATAGGTTTAATACCATCGAAACCGACTCTTCGAGCAGTTTAGATTAGTTTGCTAACAGTCAAATACGAATTCTTCTCCCTATTTGCTGCATTAATATTTCCTCAATTCACATCTTCAATATGAAAAATGTTCTCCTTCAGAGTGACAATTGAAAGCTTATGGGCACAGTGAGTTTTCTTCAAATTATTCTGCCGTTTTTTTAACTGAAAAAAAATTTAGCGCGAATAATTTTTTTGGCAGTTTGACTCGCTTTAATTTTTATCGATCAAAATAAACATGCTTCTTATGGAAAGAATTGGCGCTTGGCTTTTGGTCTCAAAAGAGGTAGAAAATCTGGAATCTGGCTGCACAAAAAAACTAACTCATTCAGATTTATTTGTAATGGGTTGATTTAGTTAAATTGAAACGTCAATCATAAATTTTTCTTGAAACTGAAAGTTTTCTGTTGCTGTTTTTTTTCTCAAACGGGAATTATTCCGTATCGGCCTATTGTTTGTCGGCTTAGTTGACATATCACGGGTTTTTCTTTAGCTTGAAGCGGCGTTTAAGTGTTAATGAACGTAGTCAAGAGACTTTTGTTGGGCGTGATGTTTTTCTAGACAAAAAATTTTGCTCAAAATTGATTTTTCTGGGATTTGTTGTTGATTTTTTAAAAGTATTGCAAAGTGAGTAAATCTTATCAAAAATTTTTTCTGAAATTCGCAAGTTGAAGTTTTTTTTTTGCATTCATTAATACTTTTCCATTTGTCTGCTGGTTATGTTCATTGTAATTGAAACAATTTGTGATTGATCCCTGCAGTTTGTATATTGTATATTACTAAATCTGAATTTTTTGTAATTTCCTTTTTCGCTGAAACGCATTATTTGCCCGTAAGTAATTCAGCTTATATTTTATTGGCTTAGTGACTCAATTGTTTGTGGTTGGATGGGGAAAATAGAGCCTTTGGGTCGGCAGTGGGTCGAATCCCTGAGGGGAGGGGGGAGGGGGCGTCCGCTCCTGGAACTGAGTTATAATAGATGAGATAACAATATAAATCAGATTGTCGTGATCATGACTTAAATAGCAGACTGAACTCGTGCAAAATTTCCTTCCTCCCTACGCCATAGTTACTTTCCACTCCGTGAGTAGCCGAACTGAACAATAAACAGGATCCAGAGTTTTTGGATCTGAAATGCTTTTTACTCAGTATATGCTTTTAAATTTAACGCAATTAACTGTTGCTCTAATTTTACGCAATATGCCGTTGTTAGATTTTTCTTTTTATCTGTGTACTCGTTGTAATTTCTTTCACTGTTAGATTTTAGTTTCGTGTTCCTGTTTTCAGAAGAGCTGATTATGGTTAGTCAAGAGCCGAAATTAGCAAAACGCGGATCCAAGCCTACTGGCGCCCTATTTAAAGACATCAAAACCATCGGAAGACTTGATACTGTTAAAGATGACAGAGGGTTCACTGTTGTAGTGGAGGAAAGAGTCGACGATGAACAGCAACAGAAGCATCGGGAAATTATTGACCTCCTAGTCGCTGCAGGATACTTCAGAGCGAGGATTCAGGGACTCTCGCCTTTTGACCAAGTCGTCGGAGGTCTGGTTTGGTGCATCACCATTTGTAACTTCAACGTCGATGTAGATATTCTGTTCCAGGAAAACGCGAACATGGGAGACAAAATAACACTGGTGGAGAAAATAGTTGCCGTTTTACCTAAAATGAAATGCCCGCATCTGATTCAGCCGCACGAGATCCAAGGGTTCAACTACATAGCCATATTTCCAGTTATCCAGTGGCTTGTTAAGCAGGTGTTGATATATCGCGCAGAGCGTGGTGATCAGAATAAAGCACAAAGCGTGTTTAACTTCTCCAAGAAGTTTCAAATTCCGACTTCTCCGAATAAGCAGGTGGCTTTGAATGCACAGTCAAATGTACCATCTGTAAGGAAAGACGGACTGCCTTCTAGAAACTACAAACGGGCCTCGAATAAGAAATTGAAATCAGACCAGGCTCTCATTCAGTGTACTTTGCTGGAGTTTGGAAAGAAAAGTGACATAATGCAGTTGATCTCAGAAGGTACGTTAATCAAGCTCCAAACTTTGTAACCGTCATCAAGTATGTATTTGTATGTGCATGTTCGATGTCGTTGATTTAACACCGATACAAATTCGCTTCAAAATTTCAAAGTATGAACTGGCCGATACATGGTGTATAACATCTCCGAGTATTAAAATAATTTCTTTTTCTTCGTCTTATGAGCGTGTTTTGTTTTTTTTTTCAGCGCAAACGCACTTTTGGTAATGTGAAAATTTGGAAAATGGATGAAAAATACGCAAAAACAATGTAGCGTAATAAAATGACAAATCAATATAATCTTTAAATAGTTCTAGCAAATTTTTAAAACAGCCTGTATTTTATGACAATGTCTTGAACTGCTTCAGGTGGCTCTGGAGTGAATGAAGAGCAAGCTGAGTCCGCGGTGGATCAGATGATGGGAGCCATGGCCTCCTCTGGAACGGGATCCTCAGGTGCCAAGAGTAACCAGCTCAAGATGTCTTCAGAGACGGTCGGGTCATTATTGGGTGAGAAGATGGACCAGGTAGCTCAGCTGCAGGCTCATTTCGACTCGCTAAAACTGGAGGCAGAGAACTCGCCAGCTCAACAACACTCAAGACACGTAAGTTTGAATTAGTACTGAAACCTACTTGTTTTCTAGAGTAAATGGAGTTCAATTTTTTGGCTTTTGACATTTGAAATTTGACTGTAGATATTTACGGATTATACTTACTAAAAAATCTAAAATTAATTGTAGGAGTTTGAAATATTCAAAACTTGTCGGTAGAATTCCAGTACTTACAGCTTAATTGAATTTTGAGGCGTTGTAAAAATCAAAATTTTTTGCTGTTTAGGTTGCCAACATCAAAGCAAGGATTGCCGAAACTGAAAAGATGCTGATGGCCAAAGCTGAGACATATCAACAACTAACCGAGGACTTTAAATCGAAGAAGACAGAACTCCTCGACTTACAGCAGAAAGTGGACAATCTGGACGAAAAGATCGGGGAGCTAAAAGCCTTAGAAACGGACGAAAACAAAGCGACGCTGGAGAAGCTACAATCACTGATAAAAGAGCATGAACAAGTTAAATCGAGTGAATCAGCCTATAAGTCAAAGTGTAAAGAGCAAATGGAAGAACTAAACGAAAAAGTGAACAATTTGAGAAATTTGGTTGAAAAGATTGCCAATAACGACCCGGAAGCTATTCCTGAAGATGTTAAAGAAGCACACGAAGACTTGACGAGCCGAGTCGGTAAAGCGGAAGCTCTGATTGGTCGGAAAATGCGGGAAATAGGTGACATGCAGAAAAAACTGGACGACATACCGAGTCGTGCGGAATTGAGTCAGTATCAGAAACGATTCGTTGAGTTATATAATCAGATGTGTTTCAAGTACACCGAAACTAAACACCATTTCACCCTGTATAATACACTCAGTGATACGAAAATGTACATGGAAAAGGAAATAGCGCTTTTGAACTCTATTCACGACGGATACGAGATAGCTATCAAAGGCTCTAATGATACCAAAAAGCAGTTCTTATCCCATATCGAACAAGTAACTGAGAGTACGGGACTGACCAAAGACAAGGTGCTTCAGACCAAACTGAATGCGAAAAAGCACAGAGATGCTCTAAATGGACAAATGATGGATCTATTGGACAAGCAACGTCAGTATCATTTGACAGCTAAAGAACTCCAAGAGGAGTTCAACAGCATGATGAAAATTTAAACTGACTGATGCTTACTCACACTTGATGAGTTGTTTTTTTTTAAGCAGGAATATAGCTGATAACCCAATATCCGATTCTATTCTATGGAAATGTTTTATTTTTGATACTGTATTTATTCTATTTTTGCAAATTTAATTTATTCGCGAAGTTAATTAAGAAAAACTAATTCGAAGCTTACACTTCTAGATCGTGAACTGGAATCAACTGGATGGAAAGTTTCAGTTGAAATGTCTGTCAATTTGAAAATTTGCAAAAAGATAGAGAAATGTATGGAGCAGCAGCGACTAAGTGGCTTACGAAGATATTGTGAGAGGCATGAGAGGGATATTGAGGACTTGAAGTAAAAATTACTTCTGGTTTTCCTAAATAAGAAGTAAAAATCTTTTAATTAAAATTGTGATTTCCTAGACTTGATTGTGGAAATGCGGATGTGTTCTTGAATCGGATATGCAATTTGAACTTTTACGTGGGTCTCGAGTGTCTTCAACAGTTTCAGTTTCCATTCGGGTCAATTGTGACTTCGAAAGGAGATAATATACTGCACGTAGCTTGTAAAAGTGCAATCGTCGATAACACATGTAAGTAACGTGATAATGAACAATGGAGATATTATAGTGTGGCCATAATCTAGTGAAAACACAACACAATTGATTTTTAATCCATAAAAAAGAAGTTTTGGCTTTTTCTGGGGTTGCTGATCCATTGAGTTTCTTTTGATTCGCTAATTTATCTTCACAACAAATGCTTGTTTTATTAACAGTTCACTTTTTCTCAACCTAAGTTGCACATTTTTGTGTTCAAAATTCTTGTTCATTTATACAGTGCTAATTACCCTTGCAATAAGCAATAAGGTATTGCAATCGGGTACTAGACTTTTTTTTCCTGTAAACAACTTTGTCAACAGTACTAATATCTACCTTGTTTCATAATGTATTCAACTTTCGTATGCTCCCGGCCAACTAAGCGTGGAGGTAACGAATATGCCTGGGACGGCAAAGTTCTGTGTTCGACCTGTTTTTTTTTTTTCAAAGTTCTGACCAGGACCTGTTTTTTTTTTCAAACTGGAAACATTCTGTAACATTCTGGAAACTGGAAAAATAGGCAAATTATTTGTCTGCTTATCTGTTGTCGGCATAGTTGTCACATCTTGGAATTGTTTTTTTTTGCCCGCATTTTTAATGTTGTTTTTGTTAATTGATTTACGCCTACAGTTTGGAATTTTACAACAAACACAATTTCAACACTACCCTCCGGTTGATTGTATCTTTACCTATCGATTTGATGAAATTTCTTTTTTTTTTCGTTTTGGAAAATTTTTTCAGATTTTGCAAACATGTTAGTTATTTTCACAAACTGCTCCTGGTTTTCAAAAAAAGGGTATCAGTTGAAAGACCTGTTACTCTTAACTCCTTACTCTTAACCCCAACTCTGAAGTTTCTACTTAACCCCTTTGTCTACAGCCTTCGAAAAAGTGTGGGGGAATATGTGAGCCATATTTTTGATTTTTTTTGTCTCGAAAACTACCCCTTTCATTTATGAGGTTTTGGTTTTGTTTCAGTGCATAAGTGGCTTCGACCGAGTTTTTTACCCAAAGTTTTGGCTCTCTGAATAGTCGACTTGTTGATTTTTGACCGTTTTGTAAATCTTTTGAATTTTCTTGAAAACTAACTTCTCAAATTTTATACTGTGGGTTTAATGAGATAAGAAGTAGTAAGAACCTCCTCTGCATTAGCGGACACTAACAAAAACTTATACAGAAGATGTTATCGCCCTCTAAAAAATCAAATTTTGATTTTTGGAACATTTTTTTTGAATTTTCTCGAAAAACACCCTGACATACCTGAGATTTTGGGTTACATTCTGAGAAAGCGTTGTGGGAAGCTCATTTGCTTATGTGGCTACGCCCAGTTTTTTCTACTCGAAAAGTTTTGGCCCTCGGAAAAGTATAGATTTTGATATTGTGACCGTTTTTTTGTTGAAGTTTGACTTTTCTCGAAACTTGCTCCCAAATCATGTAAGTAACGTGATAATGAACAATGGAGATATTATAGTGTGGCCATAATCTAGTGAAAACACAACACAATTGATTTTTAATCCATAAAAAAGAAGTTTTGGCTTTTTCTGGGGTTGCTGATCCATTGAGTTTCTTTTGATTCGCTAATTTATCTTCACAACAAATGCTTGTTTTATTAACAGTTCACTTTTTCTCAACCTAAGTTGCACATTTTTGTGTTCAAAATTCTTGTTCATTTATACAGTGCTAATTACCCTTGCAATAAGCAATAAGGTATTGCAATCGGGTACTAGACTTTTTTTTCCTGTAAACAACTTTGTCAACAGTACTAATATCTACCTTGTTTCATAATGTATTCAACTTTCGTATGCTCCCGGCCAACTAAGCGTGGAGGTAACGAATATGCCTGGGACGGCAAAGTTCTGTGTTCGACCTGTTTTTTTTTTTCAAAGTTCTGACCAGGACCTGTTTTTTTTTTCAAACTGGAAACATTCTGTAACATTCTGGAAACTGGAAAAATAGGCAAATTATTTGTCTGCTTATCTGTTGTCGGCATAGTTGTCACATCTTGGAATTGTTTTTTTTTGCCCGCATTTTTAATGTTGTTTTTGTTAATTGATTTACGCCTACAGTTTGGAATTTTACAACAAACACAATTTCAACACTACCCTCCGGTTGATTGTATCTTTACCTATCGATTTGATGAAATTTCTTTTTTTTTTCGTTTTGGAAAATTTTTTCAGATTTTGCAAACATGTTAGTTATTTTCACAAACTGCTCCTGGTTTTCAAAAAAAGGGTATCAGTTGAAAGACCTGTTACTCTTAACTCCTTACTCTTAACCCCAACTCTGAAGTTTCTACTTAACCCCTTTGTCTACAGCCTTCGAAAAAGTGTGGGGGAATATGTGAGCCATATTTTTGATTTTTTTTGTCTCGAAAACTACCCCTTTCATTTATGAGGTTTTGGTTTTGTTTCAGTGCATAAGTGGCTTCGACCGAGTTTTTTACCCAAAGTTTTGGCTCTCTGAATAGTCGACTTGTTGATTTTTGACCGTTTTGTAAATCTTTTGAATTTTCTTGAAAACTAACTTCTCAAATTTTATACTGTGGGTTTAATGAGATAAGAAGTAGTAAGAACCTCCTCTGCATTAGCGGACACTAACAAAAACTTATACAGAAGATGTTATCGCCCTCTAAAAAATCAAATTTTGATTTTTGGAACATTTTTTTTGAATTTTCTCGAAAAACACCCTGACATACCTGAGATTTTGGGTTACATTCTGAGAAAGCGTTGTGGGAAGCTCATTTGCTTATGTGGCTACGCCCAGTTTTTTCTACTCGAAAAGTTTTGGCCCTCGGAAAAGTATAGATTTTGATATTGTGACCGTTTTTTTGTTGAAGTTTGACTTTTCTCGAAACTTGCTCCCAAATCATGTAAGTAACGTGATAATGAACAATGGAGATATTATAGTGTGGCCATAATCTAGTGAAAACACAACACAATTGATTTTTAATCCATAAAAAAGAAGTTTTGGCTTTTTCTGGGGTTGCTGATCCATTGAGTTTCTTTTGATTCGCTAATTTATCTTCACAACAAATGCTTGTTTTATTAACAGTTCACTTTTTCTCAACCTAAGTTGCACATTTTTGTGTTCAAAATTCTTGTTCATTTATACAGTGCTAATTACCCTTGCAATAAGCAATAAGGTATTGCAATCGGGTACTAGACTTTTTTTTCCTGTAAACAACTTTGTCAACAGTACTAATATCTACCTTGTTTCATAATGTATTCAACTTTCGTATGCTCCCGGCCAACTAAGCGTGGAGGTAACGAATATGCCTGGGACGGCAAAGTTCTGTGTTCGACCTGTTTTTTTTTTCAAAGTTCTGACCAGGACCTGTTTTTTTTTCAAACTGGAAACATTCTGTAACATTCTGGAAACTGGAAAAATAGGCAAATTATTTGTCTGCTTATCTGTTGTCGGCATAGTTGTCACATCTTGGAATTGTTTTTTTTTTGCCCGCATTTTTAATGTTGTTTTTGTTAATTGATTTACGCCTACAGTTTGGAATTTTACAACAAACACAATTTCAACACTACCCTCCGGTTGATTGTATCTTTACCTATCGATTTGATGAAATTTCTTTTTTTTTTCGTTTTGGAAAATTTTTTCAGATTTTGCAAACATGTTAGTTATTTTCACAAACTGCTCCTGGTTTTCAAAAAAAGGGTATCAGTTGAAAGACCTGTTACTCTTAACTCCTTACTCTTAACCCCAACTCTGAAGTTTCTACTTAACCCCTTTGTCTACAGCCTTCGAAAAAGTGTGGGGGAATATGTGAGCCATATTTTTGATTTTTTTTGTCTCGAAAACTACCCCTTTCATTTATGAGGTTTTGGTTTTGTTTCAGTGCATAAGTGGCTTCGACCGAGTTTTTTACCCAAAGTTTTGGCTCTCTGAATAGTCGACTTGTTGATTTTTGACCGTTTTGTAAATCTTTTGAATTTTCTTGAAAACTAACTTCTCAAATTTTATACTGTGGGTTTAATGAGATAAGAAGTAGTAAGAACCTCCTCTGCATTAGCGGACACTAACAAAAACTTATACAGAAGATGTTATCGCCCTCTAAAAAATCAAATTTTGATTTTTGGACCATTTTTTTTGAATTTTCTCGAAAAACACCCTGACATACCTGAGATTTTGGGTTACATTCTGAGAAAGCGTTGTGGGAAGCTCATTTGCTTATGTGGCTACGCCCAGTTTTTTCTACTCGAAAAGTTACGGCCCTCGGAAAAGTATAGATTTTGATATTGTGACCGTTTTTTTGTTGAAGTTTGACTTTTCTCGAAACTTGCTCCCAAATCATGTAAGTAACGTGATAATGAACAATGGAGATATTATAGTGTGGCCATAATCTAGTGAAAACACAACACAATTGATTTTTAATCCATAAAAAAGAAGTTTTGGCTTTTTCTGGGGTTGCTGATCCATTGAGTTTCTTTTGATTCGCTAATTTATCTTCACAACAAATGCTTGTTTTATTAACAGTTCACTTTTTCTCAACCTAAGTTGCACATTTTTGTGTTCAAAATTCTTGTTCATTTATACAGTGCTAATTACCCTTGCAATAAGCAATAAGGTATTGCAATCGGGTACTAGACTTTTTTTTCCTGTAAACAACTTTGTCAACAGTACTAATATCTACCTTGTTTCATAATGTATTCAACTTTCGTATGCTCCCGGCCAACTAAGCGTGGAGGTAACGAATATGCCTGGGACGGCAAAGTTCTGTGTTCGACCTGTTTTTTTTTTCAAAGTTCTGACCAGGACCTGTTTTTTTTTTCAAACTGGAAACATTCTGTAACATTCTGGAAACTGGAAAAATAGGCAAATTATTTGTCTGCTTATCTGTTGTCGGCATAGTTGTCACATCTTGGAATTGTTTTTTTTTGCCCGCATTTTTAATGTTGTTTTTGTTAATTGATTTACGCCTACAGTTTGGAATTTTACAACAAACACAATTTCAACACTACCCTCCGGTTGATTGTATCTTTACCTATC